CTTTGTAACCAAATATGTTCGTGTTCTGCTCTGTTCTGGGAGCCATCTTTAGATCTTTTTAGTCTGTGATGTCATCCGCTGATACACTTACGAGTACTTTCTGTCATATGCAAATCTATGCTAATGCAACAGCTCGAAGCTGGAAGGAAGCCTTTGTCTTGGCCAAATTGGCAACAGAAACACACACATTTTCTTCATCTTACTTAACCGCGAAGGCGAACGGAAGTGATTAAGAAAGGCAGAGAGTGGCCCCTGTCTCCCTCTAACCATCTCTCTCGGCTGTCAAAGAAAGTGAAGAAGAAGTCGAAATGAGGGAGGAGGAGATGAATAGACGCTTATGCAAATCCTAACTAGTCCGATGAAAGAGCCACTAGAGATACATACATCTGCCTCTGCTGTTACACAGATACTTCTGCAGCCACAGCAGCAGCAGCAGCAGCATAAGCGTCAGATCTGCCACAGCTGTTTTGTCTAGCTGTGAGCGGTCTGTGATGTAAGCCAGTCCAAAATGTTGCCGCTTCACGAAAAGCTCTTTCTCCACTCCACTCCACTCCATTCCGGCCGACCGACCGACCGACTGCTCTTAATTTATGCAAATGCGACAACATTTCTTCGACGGCTTTCTTCAGATGCAAAACACTTTATATCGCATACTACACCCCAAAGCATACCCATGTATATGTATATATATGTAATATGCAGTAATAACAATAAAGTTTTTGGCAATAGACCGTTTTGGCGTCAACACGCTTTCAACCAAAGCTGGGGGTGGCCAAGCCGAACCACAAATAAAAAAAAAAACCAAAAACCCCGCGAAAATCTGCACAAAATCTTTACAAAATTCAGCGAGAGTGAAAAAAATAAACGCCTAACCACCTCACAAATTAGTTTAGCACTTTTGAAAGTTGTCAGAGAGTGATAGAGGGACGGTGGAGGAGGGATGTGATCGCAGGGAAGCGGACGTACGGACGTACGGACATACCCGTCATACGCCTTGCACACTAAAATGAGGGCCCGGGCCCGGGCCGACTCCGACTTTGTCTGGAGTGAAACATAAAACTCTTTATAATTGCACTGTAAACATTTCACTTTCGTTTTTATTTCGCCTTTTTTGGGCTTTGTCTTGGAAATCATTTACTTTACACAAAATGTCGTCTCCGCGCGTCGTGCACAGAATAATTTCTGTGGCGGCTGTCTCTCTCTCTCTCGCTCTGTCTCCGCGCTTTCCCCATCAGTCGACGATATGTGGGTGCCTGAAAGATAAAAGATTGTTTGTGCATATCGTGAAACGAGAGAGGGAGACTCTGAGCGGCTCTGAGGATTCAATTAGCATCTGTCCAGATTATGGGCCCCGCATTTGCATTAATGAGGCGTGTGTCTTGTTTCTTTTGGCTAAGGAGACAACTGCCAAATCGTGGCAGCTACTGTCGATGACCCCCACGAATGACCCCCGGCTGCTGCTTGGGGCTGCTTGGGGACGCTGACATTTCCTCTGGTCCTACCCAGGCATTGCAACACACAAAAGTTACACCCAACTAATGCTTGCAACTAATGATATGAATTTCGCTTCGATTCCTTTCAGATCGAATTCCAAGGCCAAGTATCTGCCGCGCCAGAGCCTGGAGAAGCTGAACAACACGGACCCGGACCATGGCATCTACAAGCGCACGCTCACCTCCAACGAGGACCTGGTGGCCCACCCGAAGCCCACCTATGGGGTGACCGGTAAGCTGCCCAACAATCTGCCAGATGTCCTGCCACTGGGCGTGAAGCTGCAGCAGCAGCCGGCGAAGCCACAGCCCGGCTCTCCGAACGGAGAGGGTAACGTGACTCTGCGCTACGGCTCCAACAATAACCTCGCAACGAAATCACCCACGAATGCCACACCTCCCTACACCATGATCTATGGCCAGGCGATGGCGGGTGGCGGGCAGCGATACTCCACGCCGCCACTGGGACACGGATACGGAAAGGCGACGCCCCAGCACTACACGAGATCTCAGTCGTACGACGTGAAGCAGACCTCCGTCCTGCCCGCACAGAAACAGCTCATGTCCCAGTCACATGTGGACCTGAAGCAAGCCGTCCATGACCTCGAGACGACGCTGGAGGAGGTGATCCTGCCACCGCCAACGCCGACGCCCACCGAGACACCGACGCCAACGCCGCCGCGCCTCTCGCCGGCCACATCCAACTCGGACTGCAGCCTGAGCTCGCACAACAGCTCGCTGGAGTGCAGCATTATTCCTAACACGAATGCGAACACGGTTCCTAATCCCGAGGCGCACATCTTCCGCGCCGAGGTGATCAGCACCACTCTGACAACGAGCGCACCTCCCAAGCCCGTGATGAACCGCCAGGACTCTCTGAGAGAGAACATCGAGAAGATCACCCAGCTGCAGTCGCAGCTAATGTCAGCGCATCTGTACGACTCCGGCTTGCTTGGTGGCTACACCAGCACCAAGTTGGCAAACACCAGTCCCAGTCCCAGCACAGAGCTCCATCAACAGTCGATGCAGCCGCCGCCGAGTCCACCCAGTCCACCGCCCGTCGAGGAAGACCCAATCGAAGCGCAACGTGCGGCAAACGAAGGACTGCAGCTGATGCAACGCAGCGAACTCGTGCTGATGGTCAATGTCAAGCCCACCACCATGGACATGGGCTGCCAAACGGATGAGATGGCGAACCGGGACACCGATCTGGTGGCGGGACGGGAGGAGCAACAGACGCGGACCACACTGCAGCCGCGCCAGCGTCAGGCCGTTGAGCTAGACTACGAGAACCTGAGCAGTGAGCTCCTGCAGCTGCTGGCGCCCAACGACAAGCTCGTCGACATCCTCACACCAAAGAGCTGCAGGCCCACCTCCCACTACGTTAGTAATCTGTACAATCCGAATGTGCCACTGCGTCTGACCAAGAGGGACGTGGGCACATCCACCCTGATGCGAATGAAGGCGGCGGCGGCTCCGACAGAGACCACCAAGGTGGTCAGTGTTGAGCTGCAGCTCGGCGATGCGAGTGGCGAGGGAGCGAATGTCATCAAACAGAAGCTGGTGAGTACCCTCTGAAACTTCTATCAGGTATTTTTTACTAATTTATCAATGGACTCGCCTCTAGGATGAGCTGATCAAACGGTTGAAACAAAAAATTGGTGCCCTCAAGCATGAGCAGCAAACCATTGGCGAGGAGTGCTCGATGAACGACAAACTGGGTCAGGATCTTTTTGCCAAGCTGGCGGAGAGTGTTCGCCCCAGCCAGGCATCCAAGTTCCGGACCTACATCGACGATGTGGGTCACATCACGAGTCTGCTGCTTTCCCTGTCCGAACGTCTGGCCCATACCGAGTGCAGCCTAGAATCACGTCAGCAGGATAAGGTGGGTACCATCATGGCAATCTTCATGTAAACATTTTCTAATGTATGCTTTTCACATCTCCAATCCCCAGAGCGTGCTGGAATCCAAGCGGACGCGTCTGTACGAGCAGCTGGAGGAGGCGCAGCGCCTCAAGTCGGACATCGATCGACGCGGTACCAGCATTGCTGGCCTCCTGGGCAAACATCTCAGCGCAGATCTGTGCGCAGACTACGATTACTTTATCAATATGAAGGTCAAGCTGATTGCCGACGCACGCGACCTGGCCGACAGGATCAAAGGCGGCGAGGAGCAGCTGGGCGCCCTCACCGATGCGCTAGTCCAAAGCGATTGCTAAGTTGCCCCGACTGCCGGCCAATTTTCCCAGCTGTCAACTCTAAGTTGAGAGCCGTCCGAGAGAATTATCCAGCCGTCCGCAATATGTATTAGTTTAAAACGATGTGCTTAATTTCAACACCCACACTATATAGTAATGTATAATTGTATGTTCATTTGTGATTTTCAACTAGCTTGTAGGTTAATTATTCTATGTATCGGCCGCCTAAGCGTAAGCATTTTTTACATAATTATCAAAGCAAAGATAAACATTATGCATTAATAAAATTATAAAAACTACACAGAAATTTCCTTGGCGGAGAGAAAGAACGTTACCAAATTGTCTGGCCGAAAAATATTGTTTTAGCAGCAAATTGGCACTGCACCTGTATGAGATTACTCGACACACACTAAGCCAAGCTTGAATATCGAATTCGACACCAGTTTTAAAACCTTCTTTAATGGTTTCGGCTAGCCTTTGCTGCATTCAAAATTAACGTGTATATTATTTTATTAATCAAAACAATATCTCCAGCGTTCATTTTCACTTAAAATATTTATTTATTTACAGCTGCAGTCAAAAGATTACATATTTATTGTTGTGCTGATTTTACTTTGCGGGCAACGTTATTTTGAATTCCATTTTGATCTGACCGGGCTCACTATCGCCAAAAGCAACTATATCGGCTATATCGATAGAAAATCATAGTGCACCTAGTGGTGGGAGTTAGTTAGATAGAAGCACTAACCATACAGTATATATGTATGGTTAGTGGTAAAATGTATAGAAACTTTCCGGTAATGCTTTTGATATCTACATACAAATGTAGTTAATATGTACAAATGTGTAGTTACCTTGTACAAATGAATTGACCTATTTTGTTGAATCCTGATTTTACAAATATTCAAATAAAGATAAGAACTTAAAATTAGCCAGTCCTGGTGAAAATTGTTTCATTAATCGAATAAAATTATGTGTTCAGGTATGATGATCCAAGCTATCAAGTAATATCAATATAGAATATCAAAATCGAGGAATATGGTTTCCTCGCAATGGACTTAGCAGGAAAACAAGTCAAGTATTTAGAACAAGCCAGTCAAGTAGGAAATTGATTCATTCATGGGATAAAACTATGTGGGCAGGGCTGAGGATTCTATCTAGCTAGTAATATTCGACGGAATATCAAAAACGAGCAATATGTATGATGGAGCTTGGATAGTTCGTCAGTATATTTACGGTATATTTTGAAAATGAGATGGTATATTTTGGAATATTTTTGAGAGCTCGTCGCACTGGCGGTCAAGTCTGAAAAAAAAAACAATTTTTGTCAACAAAGCATGTCGCTTATTAAAAATTTGGTAAAGGAAACGGAGAACAAGCCGAAGAAGAAAAAGAAAGATGCTGGATCCGGGGACAGCGATTCTGATGGCAAGGGAGGGCCACTGCGACCATTTGTCAAAACGGCCACCGATCTGCAGAGGCTAAAATTAGAAAAACTGATGAAGCATCCTGTGAGTGCAACAAAATTGAATCAGTAAACGTACTAACCATAAGTTTTTAATTCCCAGGAGAAGCCAGTAATCATACCAGAGGCACGTCGCGAACGGGACTACAATGCGTCGGTGCCAACATTTGTGCGAAACGTAATGGGCAGCAGTGCTGGAGCTGGATCCGGGGAGTTCCATGTTTATCGGCATTTACGTAGGAAGGAATATGCCCGCCAGAAAAATATACAGCATCAAAGCGCTCGCGAGGCTGCAGACGATGCATTCCAACAGAAAATAGATGACAACCGACGATTGGCAGAGGAGCGTACAGCCAAAAAAAGAGCAAAGAGGCTCAAGAAGAAACAGCGCGCAAAAAAGCCACGAGAACAAAAGACGGACGTAGTAAAACCGGAATCGGAGTCAAGTGGAAGTGCGTCGGAAGATGAAAATGTTGAGCAGAAGCCAGATACTGTAGATCCAAAGCCAGAGAGCCCAGATTCGCAGAAAGAGACGGCAGATCCAAAGTCAGAAATCAACGGTCCTGAACCACTAGAGACATCGGATCTCTTTGATGCTTCTGCCCCTGCGAAAAATGAAACCTGATTAGATATCTCCAATCTAAGAACTTCTGTGCGAAGAAATACATCTAGTTTATTAAAACAAAATTGCAGTTTTATTTATATGTATTATTTTAGATAGGTATATATTAAGCGATTTCTATAGATCGTTCGTATATTTGTGTTTGTCATCTGAGGGCATCATCTTAAAGCAGCTTTGGTGAGGAAAAAGCATTGAATTGTCTTGATTTTAGTGCGCTTCTAGTCTTATAATAGTATATAAGGTGCATCTATAATTGCATTTAGCCAAGTGCAGTAAATGCTATCGAAATTTGACATCAATGGCTATAAATAGTCGAGAGGGCTCGTATGTTGTGGTACCCTGTACAAACATAGTCCACTGAACAATCTTCCCAAGAACAGGGTATACAAATTTCTACTCGTTTGGGGTTTCGGTTTCTTAAAGAAGCAAGTTTTTTATTGATTCCAGTATATCGTTTTCTTTATATCCATAGTTGTATTCTTTTTTTCTGCTTTTTGTTTCTCTTGCACGGTTGTATATGAATTTTTCAATTTTCCACAAATAAATATGTATAGTATAATATTAATATATATATATATTTGCGTTTGCACTTATAAAAACTATTAATATAAATTTGCAGCATTTTTCTACTATGTAAACCGTAAACGTAAATCATATTTTGAACTTAAAGCCAACTTAAACATGTAAGCATTTTAATAGATTTTGTTTTTTGTTAGATCCTTCTCTCTCAAAAAAGAACTCAAAACAGAGCAGAGTGAATACGGTGAAAAGAAGCAAACTGTTTTATCGTAAAAATTACCTCATTTATGGTAAAAATTGTATATAAATCAAGTAATTCCAATTTCAAATTCCAAGTTTTCGTAAATCGTTGAAATACTTTCCTTCTCTTCGCATATCATTACTATGCTTCATTAGCAAACCTTTAAACACTTTCAACAACATCAATTTAATCTTTCTGATTGTGTGTGTGGGTGGAAAATCAATATTTATCTACTGGAACATTTTTCAGATGAATATATTTGGTTGTACAATTGCCAATACTCCGTTTCCATTCATCATTCAAGTATAGACGTAATTTTCAGCTTGTGCCTGTTTTGCTTAGCGAGCCGCTGCTTGGGATTAGCGAAGGGTCGACCGACCAGACAGCATTACATTAAACGATAATAATAATCGTAGGTGTATATGCATAGGCATTAACGTATATGTACTTTTTATATAGTAGGTAGGTAGTTACATAGTTAGTTAGAAGGGCGTACAATTAAATAAATAATTCTTTTCGCGATTTTGCATTCGGGTTTAAAATACACTATGTTCATTTTGCTCACGGACGCTGACACTGAAAGCGTCTAGAAAATAAACTTGCTGGAGGTGGCCGAGACTGTTTTTGTTGTTGTTTTTGTATGTGTGTGTGGTGTGTGATTTATTATAATAGCTTTATGTTTAAATTGAGAAGTAAGCAAAAGTTTTGCTGAGTTAACTTTGCTTTAACGACACTCCCAGACCTTAACTGTTTGATCCACACTGCCGCTGATGACGTACGGATGCGCCTTGTGAAAATCTGCAAGGAAATAAAATATATATTTAATGTGTGCACAGTATTGCATTCGAGTACTTTCGCCACTAACCTATGGAGGTGCAGAAATGCTGATGTGCGTAGAGCGTCTTCATGCATCGCTTGTTCCGCAAGTCCCAGACCCTGATGGTCTTGTCATCACTGGCCGACACCAAATACTTGCCACCCGGATGGAATGCCAAGCCACGCACCCAATTGTCATGGCCATTCAGCGTGAGCAGGCACAGTCCGACGCTCACATCCCAAATGCGTATAGTTTTATCTCGAGAACCGGATGCAAGGAATGGGCCCTGGTGGTGACCTTTCTTGTTGTCCGCTCCGGCTGCTTCGTTTATCGCTGATGCTGCGGCTTCCGGAGCCCAGGCAATGCACTCCACGGTGTGCTCATGATCGCGTAATTCAACCTGTGAAAATGTAAATCTGTTGAAAGTCCATCACTTGTCAAGGATCCCTAGAATTTCTACCTTGCAGTCTTTTGAATTCATCAGCCAAACACGTATTGTGTGATCATTTGAGCATGTGGCAAAGATGCTGCCCTCAATGTGCACTCGCACCATTCGTACCCACTCCCTATGGCCTGTATATGTCTTCACGCAGTATCTGTAGAGCGAAATTAACAGTAAGAAACTAGCATCCATCTATCGTCTCGGACTAGCAGCTTACCCGGTGGCCACCTCCCACATTTTGATGGTTCGATCACGTGAAGCAGACAGAACATAGTCGCCAGCGGGCACAAAGGCCACCGATGATACATTGTGATCGTGACCATGCATTGTTTTAACACATTCGTAGCTCTGCTGGAAATCCCACAACTTAATGGACAAGTCAGCGCTGCAGGAAGCTTTAACCAATGAAGAACCGAATCCATTAATTCGTTTTCAGAGCAGATCGATGATATATTAACGTACCCAAGAGCTTGCCCTGAGAATCGAATGCCACGTCCTGCACAGAGTCGGTATGTCCTTTTAGACTGCGCTCATACTCGCCAGTTTCAAAATCCCAAATCTTAATGGTGGCATCTTCCGATGCTGAAACCATGAGGCCAAAAATTGGGTGAAATATAACCTGGAACAAACAAACATCCTTCATATATGCTTCCATCGCCTTGGTTTTTATGTTTCACTTACCCTCGTTATGCTGGCTCGATGACCAGTCAGAGAGTACTTCTCTGGTGGGCGAGGTATCCATTCGCCGGGAGTGCGTTTGTTCTTTGTGGGCGCCCCCTCGATAACCTCCTTCTCAGCTTCGGTAAGCTTAGCCTCTAGTTCCATCACTTTCTTCTGTAACCGTATGACCGATGTCCACTTCTTCTCCAGTAGACCGCCAAACTTCTTCTCTGACTCTGTGCTGACATCGGCCTCCTTGCGAAAGGTCTCAAGTGAGTCGCCGTAGCCATTTGAGCCTAGATAATCGGCAATCGCTTGGTTACTGTTTAGAGAGTGACGCGAAAGTAAATTGAATTAATAATATAAAGCAAATAGTTGATGGCTTAACTTACAGCTCCTCGCGCTGCCGCTGCGACAACACCATTTTCATACTGTTCTCCGATTTGGCTAGTTTTCTGGTCTTTTTTGGTCGCTTTTTCCGTTTTCAATTCGTGCAGTTCTGCAATGCAAAAAAAAATATAAGTTTTGCACATGTATGAAGTATTTCTATACTGGAAACAGGAAATTAGTTTTGCAAAAGTTAAATGACAAAAATGCCAAAGAGTTTCGTTTGAGTTCTCATATAGGGCAAGTCACCTACATTTCGTTTCGTTTTGGGATTTCGGCAAGAGCCAGAGCCCAAAGCCAAAGGGGCAGAGGCATTTGGGTCTGTTTGTTTCTTATGCTCATCTTTCGTCTAGTCATTATTTTGTTTTTTTTTTTTTATACAGAGCTAAAGCGGAGCATCATCATCATCATAATCAACGTCGTGATCAGTTTATGTTTCTGGCACAAATTTTTGAGTGGCGACTGCCATTAAAGCTCGCATTGTACGCGAGTCTCAGCAGGGCTCTATAGCAGAAAAATACATAATTGTAAAAAGGAAGTAAGAATTCTGCCTTCAGTTGGTAGCACTGCAATTGACGTGTACCGACCAGCAATGGGTTCAAGGGTTGCGCGCAATCGAAGCATTCAAATGGAATTAGACAAGGCAGCATTTATTGCCGTTTCTGTTGCTGCTGCGAGACCATTTAATTGCCTCTCAAGGTGGGGAAAAAGCAAAAGCAAATCACAGGTAACACGCAATAAAGCGACATTCGCAAACGCAGCGAACGCATATCGGTATCGCGTACACGAGAGATAACCAATAGATTATTGAGCAGTACGATTCGCACGCGTTGCCAACCTCCGGAAAAGCAGCCATTGACAAAGCCAATTAGCCAGACTTAACGGCAGTTCAAGCAACTTCTTATAGGCAAATAAGGGGACCAGACCGGACCGGAGCGGAATGCGAAAGAGGCAATAGAAGCAACACAAAGTCCAAGCTTACACACACTCAAACACAAAGCACATACATACATACATGCAGACTAGGAAATGACGTTCTCAAATTATTTTTGGCCGAATGATATTTAACGATTTTTTTGAACTATCATACTACGAACAAAAAGTGACCAAACGAGTTCGGTTCAGCAACGAACATCAATACACACTCGTACTTCAGGCAGTGGGATTTGACAACAGCACATGGGACCAGCCAGGCCGTGACGTGACTCACCCAAGGGACACAAATCGAGCGAGACTCTTGGCTCTTATCAGCTGTGCAAGAACGGCATTTACAAATATGAGTAGGTGGATGGATGCTCTCTGTTCGGACAGAACAGACAAACTACTGCGCATCTAAATATAAATGGAAATCAATGAAAAATCAACAACAGCGTTCCCTGCCAACGTCACGCGCGTGGGCTGGTCGCGTGGGGAGTGAGGGTTCCTGGGCTCTTCCAATGCCGAACCGAGTCAACACAATTTCTGTTGTGGCAACCAACATTCCACCACTTCGGCATGCGCATTGTAACTGTATCTGGCTGTGTGTGGGCCTCTGCTCTGCTCTGAAAGAAACGGTGCCACACAGCAGAAACAATGGACATACGGGGGCGTTTGGGTCACACGCTGCAACAGTAGAAACAGAAGTTGCAGGAAGAAAAGGGTGCCGGGCACCACAAATAATAGGAAAGAGCCGAAACCAACTTTGATTCTCACACTTGTGCTTGCTCAAGCTATTTAATATTTGCATTTAAATGATTTCTAACTCTCAGAAGCTGTGAAACAGCCCGCGTGGGCGTGTGATGTCAGACAATTGTTGGCAATGCGAAATTACCAGGGCTGCCGCACACCACATACTTTAACAGGATGCAATCTCTCTTTCTCTCTTGATTGCTGCTGTTCTCTTTCTCTCTTTCTTACGGCAGACCTTGCACTTGCTTCTGCTTTTATAGCTCTGGCATGTGTTGTTTGTTGTTGCTAGCTCTCGCGCAATTTTTTTTGTATTTGCGTGTTTCATTGATTAACCCACACACGCAAAGCACATGCAGCTACAGTGCAAAAAACTGTTTCAAGTGCAGCAAGGAAATAATGCCGAAAACCCGATGAGACGGGATAACAGATATGAGCTTTGATTTAATAGGGACAGTAATAGATTTTGGTGTAACTGGGCTAATCATGTAACACATGTATAAACCTACTATTTACTTAGAAAAAGCTCGTGTGCAGGTATTTAGATAAGCTGAGTACCGAAAGAAGAGACGCCTTTATGAGATAGAGAGCAAAGGAAAATAGATAAGGCGAGGCATATGACCCGTTAGTTTTCAAGTTTAAATAATTTTGCAGTGTCAGAAGCCGGACAGTTCGACAAGTTCGTTCCCAAGCTCAGTACTTTTCGCACATTCTGGGAAATTACAACGGCAACGGGTCTGCCCGCCGTCGTTAACAGAACTCAAATACCTAAGAGAATGCCCTGGCCATGGCCAAAGAAAAAACCCAAAACGGGAAAACTGTGAAAAAGAAAATAAAACTAGATTCTTCAGCATGTGCAGAACTGGTTTGCGTTATTTTTCAACGTTTCGCCCATGTAAAGGTGTTAGGCGATTGGCTTGTCTTTTGGTGCATAGAACTATTGAGCAAGGAATTGAGTGTTGGTCGTTGGCGCTGCAGCTATTCCGGGGATGGGAATAGGTAAAAATCGATCAACGCTTGGTGTGGCCAGGGGGAGGACACATTCTCCAACACATGCGCAAAAATTCAATACACATACACACACTGCGCCGCGGAGCGATGTGTCATCACTTTCTGGTGGTTGTACAAATGTAATTGTTTTTTTCTTTTTTTTCTATAGTTTTTGCACCGTTCATCTATTTTTTAGTGTCTGTTTTACACATTTTGCCCAATTTGCATAACTCTTTCTTTTGCTTTTGGGTTTCTTTTCAATAACAAACACAATAACAACACACACAAACGAAAATATAAACTGTTACGACGGCCATCTTGGATAGAGGAGAGGGAGCAATGAGAGTCAAAAAGGTAATATGCAAAACCGAAAATGGACTAATCCATCATCATTCTACGATCAAAAGCATCACCAATGGCTTTAAAATGCTGGCTTTATTTTTTATCTCGCCACACAACGCACACACTAACACACTGAAACTTCCAATGTCGTACGTATGACAATTTTTTCATTTTTTCTCAGTCGCTCATTACACACACCGTCACTGTTGCGAAATGGGTTTTGAGTATGCGGTCGATCGCGGCGCTTCAGCTTCTTGCTTTGATTATGTGCAACGAATACTTACACCAATTTTGTAATTCATATATTATATTTATACTTATTTTGATTTTATTTATCTTTTTTTTTTATTTGACAATTGTTTGTGAAGCAGCGGACTAGAGCTCAGTGTGACCGCGGATTTGTCGATAAAATATACCGTCCACCCCCTGAGAAATATACCGTCTCACTTTCAAAATATACCAAAAATATACTGACGAATTTAAATTCTATTATAGATATTCCTCGTTTTTAATATTCCGTCGAATATAACTAGCTAGATAGAACCCTCAGGCCTGCCCACTTATTTTCATCCTATTAATGAATCAATTTTCTACTTGGCTGCCTTGTTCTAAATACTTGAATTGTTTTCCTGCTACGGCGATTGCTTTGATTGTTTTTGCCTCACAACAATATAGCCTCCCGTATATCGGTAACAAATCGAGCTTAACCCACTGAACCCCCCTCTATTTAAACACTTCAACGAATTGAGGTAAATGGTGGAAAATATTAACGATTGTAAATTCTTCTTGAAGATCCATGCCATCTTGATCTAAACCTAAAGAAACCACGATATCTGTCACTTGAACTGCGCTACAATGTTCAATGGTTTTAATGGGTTAATCATTCTTCGTCAAGGGTAGAAAACCACATTCCTCGCATTTGATATTCCGTCGAATATTACTAGCTAGATAGAACCCCAGCCCTGCCCACATAATTTAATCCAATTAACAAACATATTTTCTACTTGACTGGTTTATTTTAAATAGTTGCTTTAATTGGATTTTGACAAAACAAAGGTTTTAGCGAAAAAGGTCAACAACAATTTCTAAAAAATATATTTCCTTACATGGTAACTACACGCTAACTACACAGTGATCCAAAATAACTACATTTTATAAGTAATTACCAAAAGCGACACCTGAAGGGGAAATGTGTACACTTAAAAAATATTTGGCCTTTTTTCATACAAGCCCCATAAAAGCGCCCTGTGTGTAAATATTTTTGAAAAAATTGCATTATGTTCGGTGGATGTCTCGATTTTAATATTTTTAATTAATTTTCCGTCGAATATTACTAGCTAGATAGAACATTCAGCTCTGCCCACAAAGTTTTATCCCATTGGTGAATGAATTTTCCACAAGATATGATACTTTTAAGTACTCCCTTTTATTTTATGGGTATAAAATAAAGGTTTTAAAGATTAAAAGACCTTAAGTGTATACGGTGTGTGAAAAAACAGGCGTGTTTGGAATTGTTGTTCAAATAAAAAAGGTTTCGGGACTGAGTGGTTGCGTTGAAACCAATTCATTTGGTTTTTAAACATATAGCGAATAGCAGCTGACACACGAAACCTAAAATTTAATAAATTTCGGGAATCACTTTAGTGACTTATTCTGGAATTAATATGTTTACTTATACGTAATTTAAATGAGTCCGGATATCACGAAAAGGCACTTTTAATCAACGGTATTTGCTGTATAAAGCGGCTCTTGCCTCGCAAAGTGGTCGGCCCTATGAACATATTTTTAAACGAGGCATCAGTAGTCTGGCAGCAAGTGTCTGAGTCACTTCTTAAAAAATATTCTTTATATTCAAACACCACAACATGAAACTCATTTAAACCGATCTCTCATTTCGTTCACCTACTCTTTCTTACGTTTGCTGTTCGTTACGGATCCCTCACTGGTGTTCAACTCCTCTGAAGCTGGGAGTCCAGACGTGCCCCGATGATCTTGTGGCCAACTAGTCGCCGGCCCTAGCCAGACCGGCGGCCCTGTGCATACTGGACATCTGGAGGAAGTAAAGGACGGTGTCGGAAAGAGACAGTTAGTTCTCTGGTTCGGGCTGAGTATGAACTATTTTTGCTGTGAAATGCTTACCTTGCTGCTTCTGCAGCTTCTGCTGCTGCTGCAGCTGCTGCTAGTTGAGTGACAATCGGAGAGGGATAGATTTTGAGGTACATGCACATCAGACGATGGGCTACCGGCAATACAGGCAGGAGAAACATGCAGCAAAGAAGGGTGGCCATAGCAAATGCGTTCTTCAAATACAAAAATATAAACACAGTATTGATAGAGTGGAGCATTCAGGGGAAATCTGTACTCACTATTGGATCCACTAGGCGTTCACAAATTAAGTAAGCGCTTTGACTGTAAATGTACGCGAGGGGCTTACAATGTCCAACGTTTTTGTTCACTTCCGAGATCACTCTTTCGATATATTCTTGAAGCTGAAGGTTGACTGAAATCGAAAGGTTGTGGGCCAGATTGTTGATGTAATTGTTGCCTTTATATCTAATAAAGTCCTCGGATCTTTGCACCGCGTCCATCAGTACTCCAATGGAGTTGCCAAAGTTATTGTTGTCGTATAGAATAAGGCTATCAATTTCATTTACTTTTTGCAATGCTTTGTTCACGGCATTCGTCAATGGGACCACTAAATATTTGTCGTACTTAGCTAGATCTGAGCTAGCCAAGAAGTAGGCAAGGCAGGCTGGAAACCCTTTAAGATATCTTGTGTTTATTTCATAAGCAAATGCTCTCGTTTTGGTCTTTAGTATGGAGTAATCCGTATGGGTAAATTTTGTGCAAAGATGCTCACTGTATAAGATGCTGTGGTATTCGGACAAATTGCCTGCACGCATTTTATTGAGGTGTACTTTCTCTTCTTCCAGGATCAGTTTCAGCGTGGTTAAGTCCCCAGTGAACACTGGTGGATCTTCAAAATCTTCGACGAATATTTCCTTATTTAACAAGTTGTTTATATCGTAAATCTTCTTCGCTCTCAGCAGATCAAAGATGGACTCATTTGCATTGCATGCCCTGATTGCATCCGACACTGGCAGCGTTGGTTGCGTGTCTCCCGATCTCCCCGACATGTAGCGATTGAGATCGATCACGGGGTCAACATGGCGCAAGATGTTTTGCCCATCTTTTAATGGAGCACAAGCGCTCGTGTAAGTTATCAAACCGATCATCAAGTAAAACAGTCCAACTAGCGTGATGAACGAGAACACACAAAATATCAGGATGATGGCGCTGAAATATGGACACAAATGGCGGTTGCAGCAAATTCCTCGGTATGCCAAAGACTAGAGATTACTTACAGAAGTAAGCATGAGGCAGCCATGCCCTTTGAGAATACTCCAGAGGGTCCTGGCTTTGTCCGGCTAGGACCTAAGCAGCCGCATACCAGTGCCGAAATTAAGATTACTATAATCTACCGCCGGGAAAAATGTTATGTATGTATTATTCTTTCTTAACATTTCTGTTTTATATCTATATACATATATTTTAAAGTTAGCGCAATCTGCTAAATGTTTTTATGTTTCTGCGATTTTGGTTTTCTTGTATGTTCAAAATTGTGGGGGCGGGTAAAATTTTCAAATAAAATTATAACAGTGTGATATAACAGGGGTTTGGATACAAAATTTGTTTTTTCTGGCTCTTATATGTATGTATGTAGTCTCTAAGCACTAGGCGTCAAACAAAACGGACGGACAGACCTAGCTTTATCGACTCGGCTATTGAGGGCTACTTGATGGGGTCGGAAAAGCTTGCTTCTTTCTATTAAAAACCCGAAACTGTTCGAGTGCCGGATATAAAAATATGCATACAATTTGAATAAAATATGCATTAACTCAATCGACTTACTATAAAGATTAATATGCAAATGACGATGTTGATAGCCCTGCGATCCGCGCCAAACTTATCGTGAATGTCGTCGAACATCCTTGAGGTCCTCAGTGTGTTCAGGTGAATATCGTTGATCATTGAATCGATCAAATCGCGGATTCCCGTAGCTTCATCCAGAAGCATTAACCTTGCGCCAGCGAGGCTTTTAAATACTGGCGGAAAAGCGAGTGCCATATGTTTCACGATCAAGTCTTTAATATTTTTGAGGCGGGCCAGCCCGCTTAAGGGGATTAGATAAGTTTTGTCCATAATAATTTTCTTCATCCCTTCGACAAAGACTGTTGAATTAGGAATCTAGAAATTACACTGATTATAATTGAGTGTTCAGCTCTGTGGGTACTGTGTAGGGAAAAGATAGTACCAGGTCGAAGTGCAGGCACTTTGAAACATCGTAAGTCGTTATACCCATGTCATGGTTGAACTTATAGCATTTTGGCAAATGGCACAAAGCATAAGCAGCGTAGCTGAGATCTCGTTTCTGGCCCCGCAAACCTGAAAAGGCGAAAAGGTTAGGGCAGAGCTTTTTCGCAGACTATCCATCCGATATCCGATGAGAGAAATTCTCAGGCTCTAGTAGTTACCATCTCTAAGCTGGGACCCAAACAAACGGATATCCTTCTCTAAGTCATCAACTTGTGACATTATCATAAGTGCTCTCGGCATGTTGGCCAAGATGCGCTCCATTTCAATCAGCGCATTGCTCTCGGAAGTATCTCCCAGGTCCAGGAATATGTGATTACTTGCGGCTATGGAGACAGATGGAGGGTGGAAGATGGAAGGTACATGTATCGTTTCCGAGTCGAACTCACTACTTAGTTGTTCATCGAGGTGGGCCTCCAGCTCCTGGTAATTGTACACCATCAAATGGTAGATGTGATCAGCCACTTCTTTTAAAAAGGTGCAATGGTCCTGACCGGCACGTTTCATTGTCATATTGCTGTCCGCTAGTCCACGATCCAGGAACTTGTTCGCAAAAAACATTATCAAAAGACAAAACCTGCGGGCAATCGTAGTCGGGGGCAAATCATTTTTTCTGCCATTGAGGCTAACTCGTCCTCGACCCAGACTCACATAAGGCTAACGACGAGCAGGCCAAGGCAAACTCCGTAAAGACGGCGCCTCCGGAAGCTCTCGGATATCTTATGTTGCTTGCAACGTAAGCAGCAGCAAAAGCAGCAATAGCAGACACTATGGCATCAAAAGGGTCATCAATACCTTGTAGTTCCCTTTTTTAGGCTTCGCTTACCCAATAAACGGAATGATAATGATACAGACGAGGAGGATTATCACGACAACAACCAGAAACCAGTACTGAGCTAACAGAGCAGCCCAATCGTTCTTCCACACCTTGGGGCCGAGAGCCAACTTGTTGTTGTCCGTCGACGTAACATAGCCTGCAGTAGGGCGGGAGGGGATTCAAATTGATTCAACGGACGGTTGGTCTAGTTTTACTTACCCGGAGGCAGGTCGGATAAAAACGACCGCAAGATGAAGTGCGTTATTGTATTAATGGGACTCAGAGCTTTTCGTGGCGACGCTAGCTCCCGGGAATATCTGCCGAAACCACGGTATGGGCTGTACTCGGCGGAAGGCCAGTGGTCCTGTCCAAGTTGCTCGTGAGTTGTACCGTCGCCCGGGTATCCCTCACGCCAAACAACATTAGCAGTATTATTAGTTCCAGTACCATTCCCTACAGTCGTTCCTGTTTCTGCACCAGGATCCTGGGCAAAATTTGGCATAGTAAGTGAAAGTAATACAAGGATAAGGATGCCTCGAACAGCTAGGGGATCGAAGTGACGCTTTCGTCCACTTCCTCTGGATTTTCTTTCGCGTGGAAGCTCCAGCGCCACTCCGATCTCGATGCTGTTTCCCCCAAGACATCGGCATCCGCATCCGTCGCTTGGCACGTTTTCGCTTGAATACATCTTTCAACTGAAACGAATCCTTACACAGGACAGTCGAGAGCTGAAACACTTAACCCAGGATGTCTTCTAAATGCGTGGGACAGTGCAGTGTGGTAAGTCTTGTGTAGGCGTTGTGTTTGTTGTGCTTGTGTCAAGTGAAATGTTTTTTGGAGTTACTTATTTGGTTGCTATATCTAATACTTTTGTATAGCAACTTTTAGCAAAGTTGTATCTATGTATCTTATTCTAAATTATACAATATGTAGGCATGTGAGTGAGTAATGTATACATTTGGCTTAAGGTTTTGATTAGGCCAGGCCGAATGGGCAAAGTCAAAGGTTAAGTCCTATCTTGTGTAATATCAAAAGTTTAAATTCAAAACAGATGGCGGGAATACGGTCACATTTCCACGCGACTCGTCGTAGAAGCAACCATATGCGGTTATCGACTGCGATAAAAAGATGTTATCGAAGTTCAAATGTTCACAATGCTTCTGCAATTCCGACTTTAGGGTAATTTTAGATACGCATTCAACGAAACTTTCTGTTTTAACTTTATAGCGCACTTTACTGCACTGCACTATGTATTCAATGGTATTTTTGCAACAAAAGTGCAATTGTGTTATCTTACCCACACACACAGACACAGGCACGATGGGAGTAAACTTGTTCTTATCAGCACACACACACACACACCAGTCCAGAGGCAGTTACTTATGCCCCTTCACGCTCAGTTTTGGACAAACGCTCAACGGAAACGGTTATAATTACTTCTCGGCGACACTTTCGATTGTCAAAGTGCCGAAATACCCGTGCCGCGCTCGTGCAACCATTCAACAACGAAACACCAAAATAAACTACAATAACTTTTGCCAGTGAGTGCAGCGATCGGTCGAGGCATACCCAATAACAGCCTTACGCCAGAACTCATTGTGCAAATTGCCGAAATATGTAAATCATTTGCCAAATTATGGCACTCTAGCAGTCTTATCATTCGATCGATCTAATCAGCAGCTGATTCTATTTGCTCCTATTAGACGCCCGTGATAGCAGATACATGACATCAGAGGCGATCATGGCGGTAGTCAAACCTAGCCATTGACAATGCCAAATGCAACAGAAGCCTCCAGCAGAAGTCCTTACCAATCCAATTAGCTGCAGTCTGGTTCTGGGCTTTATGGACTTGTATTTAAACATACATCGAAACATTTGAAGAGAATTTATTGCTCACCCATTATTCGCTTTTACGGCCATACGAGCGTCGAGTGTAGAAGGCGTTATCAGTCGACTCTGATTATATTCTGTCGATAGCAGCTCAGCAGCTTGTTCGCTGTATTCGTCAGCCTGTAAGCGCTAAATGGTTATTATTGGCTTATTTGGGGTTTTTGGGAATGGAGTGGAGTGTCAGTCTGTCGGCCCTGTGCGCAGTGATTTGTTTAAACTCCCAACGACTCAGCGCAAATACTGAAACAATTGTCTCTGGCCCGACGCGCGGACCTAGTTCCTCGAACGGAGATAACGAATATGTCGGAGTGCCATTAATAAGTATCGAGAAATGTAATTCATTTGCCTTATAAACGTATCTTCCGCTGCCACCGTCGAGTCGATGTGACAACGAAAATTAGTAATTAGTGCTGCCGTTTTTGCAGTTTCTGTTTGATTAAAAGTCGACAGCAGCAATGATGATATATATGTGTCCGTATATCTAGTTGCCATAAAATGAACCTGGGGGAGGCGTGATAAGAATACGGCAGAGCCGAAGGCCCTCGTTAATCGCATTTATTTGAATCCATTTTCGATCGAGTCATTTATTTTTAAGTCCGATCAACCGTATGCACATACATACAATTTATTGGTTGTACAAGCAGAGGTAGATCACTATCAGGGATGTATCTGCTCGCCACTTGGCGCTCATCTCAAGTGCCTTGATAATACATATTTTCACAATCCAGCCATTTCCATTCTGCACCCGACATCGGTCGCGCTTCGAGCTCCCAATCTTTTGTATTATTCGCTCTTTCGAAATATAGGCGCCTCCCTTCCGCGACTTTGACCTCTTTTTTGTTTACATTTTCTCGCTTTGTTGCATTGTTGCGCTGGTCAGAAACCAGCAGGCGATGATCCGGACCTAACAAGGTTCAGCGTTCAAAAATCTTTGATAAATCACACCTTCCCTCTGCCTGCCTCCCCACCAACTGCACATACATGCACATTGAACCCTTCATTATTTGTTATTATAAATAACAGAATGCACACATACTCGTACGCACACAAATGTTTGTGTGGAAGTCAAATTATTTGCAGTTGGGAGAGGTTAATGATTTACGGAAATCCCCGGGCTAACCGGTTGTACGTACTCCTCGTCGACTGAACTGCCAACATGCAAAATAAAAATGTTATATTTAATAATTTATATTAAATAACAACCCAAAAAAAACTTCCTCAGCATCCGAAACCGATACAATGTGGCCCTAAGATGGACAGCTATCAATGGAAGCCAGCACTCACGATATACGGATTCATCCTTCTGCTTCTGTTAGCATGGACCCAGGCGCAGACTGATCAGCCGAGTACCTTCGACGATCAGGAGTTGGCCGACAGTGAGTGTTCGGTATGCCGCAGTATCCTAACATTATCTAACATTCCGCTGTGGCTCGTTCCAGAGGTGGAAATCAATATTGTCTCGACGGCTTACACACTCAGCTTCAGCATCGCCGTTGGGGACACAGACTATACCATCGAGGGCATCACTTGCCGCAACGGAAGCGGGAAGGAGACCAAGGCGAACGAGGCCAATGTGTGGTAAGCAGAGATCGAGCAGAGGGAGATGAGGACCTCAAGCCGATACTGGCATGTTTTCCCTTGCAGCGAGAGTCTCGATCCATGCACCTTCTACACGTGTGTAGTCGTGCTGCGGCCCATCGACAACAACCCGCCGACCCCTGACCAGACGATCTATGCCTACACCGAGTACAAACGTGAGAGAGACCAGTCCGATGGCTTCAGACATGTCCTGATCCTCATGCCCTCCTGCATTTCCTCCATTTCAGAACCCAGGACGGAAGTGACAAACGTGCAGCCCACCGCCAACACCATCAAAGTCACCTGGCAGACGAACGACCGCGCTTGTGTCGAGGCCTTCGAGATCACGGCCAAGGCGTCCGAGTACTCCTACACGACGCAGCAGCTGAGCGAGAAGAGCACCTACACCTTCAAGGACGTCTATGCCTGCCTGGCCCACACCATCACCTTGATGACGCGCAACAATGCTAGTGTCGTGGTGGACACAAGCTCGACCGAGGTGGAGACGCTCTACTCGGAGCCAGGCGACCTCTCACTGAACATCACTAACTTGGCCAACGGCATAACGCTCATCAAATGGTCGGATCCCACGGAAAAGCACTGCATCGCCAACTACACTTTCAAGTGGAAGCGAGACGACTGCGTGCAGGAGAACGACCAGCAGCCGGAGGAGACGACCACGGATCTGCCAAGCACCATGACCACATTCGATACGGATTATGACATGGAGACAAGCGAGCCAGCAGAACCAGTAGAACCAGCAGAACCACCCGAACAAGGGAACAGAGGTAAGTGTTTGTTGGGGTATTGGACACAGAGTACCTACACCTACAATTTCTTATCGGATATTCCTCTGGACCCAGTTGAGTGCGAGTGGAGTGACAATTCCGATAATTCCAAGCTGAGAGAGTATCAGCTCACCGATTTGCAAGGATGCGAGCCGCATACTTTCGAGATCTACATCAATCAGAACGAAACATCCAAGGCATCCCAGCAGTTTACATCCGCCGAAAAGAGTAAGTTGGCGCCAAGGAATCAACCACCCCAGCTCCTGATCATTCTTCTCTAGCGGCCAGCGCTGTCTCCGACCCCGTTCACAGCAATAACTTGACAGAACTTCGGTGGATGTGGTCCCAGCCCCAGAATCATCCCAAGTGTGTGGCCAACTATAGCGTGCAGCTGACGGGACCCACACAACGACTCAACGAGACACTTGAGGTGGTGACTGAGGAAATGGTGGCGGTCTTCGATAACCTCGATCCGTGTGGCGTCTATATAGTGGAAATTGTGCCGGTGATGCTGAATGGAAGCTCCGGTGCGATGTATCAGTCGGAGGCCACCGTCAGCGAAGATCGTAAGTAGATGATTGTGATAGCGAAGGCCTGTCGATTAACCTATTTCGGATAGGGCCCTCGCAGATCCTGGAACCCGTCGTCCTGCCCGGCTCGTACTCTCTGGAGATAAGCTGGCAGACGCCCGCATATGCGAACTTGTGCATCGACGGGTACCGCCTCTCCGGCTGGATGGAGGACAACAAAGAGGTGCTCAGTGCGACCACCAAGAACACGTCCGTGACCTTCAACGATGGCCTGCTGGCCTGCCAGATGTACACCATACAGGTCATACCCTACACCCGGGAGAATCTGGACGGGGATCTGCGACAGGAGGTGGTGGAGACAACGGCTGCCGTAGTGAACTCTGATAAGGTGAGAGATCTATAGAGGTCTAACTGCCGACTCTGACTGTGTTTGATCCCTTTGAATCCGCGCAGATAACCCTGCAGATGGGGACCAACGGAGCTGCCTCGCACAGCCTGACATTAATTGCCAACAATCAGGACTACAACAACACCTGCCAGACCATCTTCGCTTTCTTCAACTGCAGCACCACGGCCAAGGTGCGCTACACATATGGGGAGCGGTACGTGGAGGGGTACACAAAGACAGGTATGTGCCAGAATACGGCGCAGCACCCAGATCCCGCTTTCATCTTCTCATTCCCTGGCTTTGCCACCAGGATTCCAGGCCCAGATCAGCCCACTGTCGCCGAACACCGCCTACTTTTGCGACGTGATTCTGTACAATGTGGCAGGATCCTCGAAACTCAAGCGTACACTGGAGAACACCCACACGCAGAACTACTGTAAGCGATGCAGATGAATCACTTTCTCTCGATCTCTTGCTAAGTAAATCCATTCGCTTGCAGTTCCCGAGCAGCCAGAGAACGTGAACTTCTCCCACAGCAGCGTGCAGAGCCTGCTGTTCACCTGGAATCCGCCCACCTATCTGAACGGCCCCATCAAGTACTACCAGGCCTATCTGATGCGACATGAGCCCGACTACTTTGTACCCGAGGACTGCCCGGAGGTCAGCGAGAACCCCAAGTCGGAGACCAAGGGTGATCTGAGCGTCAACTTCACTGAACTGTCGCCGGGCATTCGGTACATGATGCAGGTTGCTGCCCAGAACGATTTCGGCATGGGAGAGTATACCTCGCCGATTATTGGCATCACTCTGCCCACGGGTGAGTTAGCCCGGCCTCATTCCACCCACGCGGGCATCTAATGACAGCACCCTTTCTTGGCAGTCTCTGAAAAGGTCACCCAACTGGACGTTATTTCCATGGGTCCGTCGCTGGACGCCACTGACACCTACAGCGCCAATGCGACCGTCACCTGGAGGTGGCCCTGCAAGTCCAACGGAGAGATCGAGTCGTTCGTCCTGGACTTCATTGGAAAAAGGACCGCACACGAGAAAGTCGAGTTCAGGCGCATCATGGTGCCGGAAATGGCTGATCGCAAGGGACGGATGTCCTACACGGAGACGGAAATGAGGCCGGAGTACGACTACACAGTGAATGTGACCGTTAAAAACAAGGATGTGGACACTCTCAGCGATAGCGCGGTGTCAGGTTGGCAGTCTCCAGCGGGCCGTAAGTATCGAAAGTCTTCTCTTTCTCTCTGATCGCTCAAACGGCTCTTCAATTATCTCCCCAGTTCCCTCCCGACTGGGCAGCGAAGTTGTGGGTCAAATGCGCGTCAGCGCCAACGAGACAAGTCACCCAACGAGATCGGCCATCGTTCGACTGCCGGCGGATATCCAGAGCTCTGAATCGGGCAACATCACCTACATCGCCTTGCTGCTCTCGCAGAAGAAATGTGCCGGAACGCCGACGCTGGGCTCCGCCTTGGTCAATGCAGCCTCGGCGTGGCCAGATGTGCAGTCCTATGATACGGCAGGCGCAGACGGCTCTGTAGACTGCGTCTTTCAGTATCAGACGACGGAAGAACGCTGGAACCCGACCGCAGGCAGCAGAGAAAGGGGCTCCGACGACGAAATCATCTTTACCATCGGCGAGGACAAGTGTCCGAATGGCAAGCGGTACTGCAATGGGCCGCTCCTGGCAGACACGCAGTACCACATGGTGGTGCGTCTGTTCACCAAGTCGGGATATCGCGACGCGGCCCTGCTGGAGTTCAAGACGGATGCGGCCATCAAGGTGACACTGATCCTGATCAGCGTCTGTTCCTGTCTGATTCTGGCCTTTGTTCTGGGACTCGCAGTGCTCTGGGTGCGCAAGCGTCTAGCCTGGTAGGTGCCTGCCTGATGCACCACAACCAGAATCTGATTCGTTTTTTCCCCACAGGCATCGTGACTCTGGTCAGGGCATTGAGGATCCTTTTGGCAACGTGATCGCGAAGAACTTTGCCATTTTCTACGCAGAGGTGGCCAAGCCGGAGAAGTTGGCCCGCGAGTTCAAGGAGATAACCGTAGTGGCCCTGGAGCTGAGCTACTCGGCCTCAGAGCTGGGCTGCCACAAGAATCGCTATGCGGACATTTATCCATGTGAGTGAGGATCGCTATCCCCTTTGGGCTTTGAGCTTAAAGCCTCTTAAAACCGAATTTGATTTCTATTCAACAGATGACAAGAATCGCGTTATCCTGGACATAGATGCGGAGGGATCGGACTATATCAATGCCTCCTTCATAGATGTAAGTGCTTGGTTTTGTTCCCTAGTATTTGCTGTCACCTAACCCACAATTTCATAGGGACACACCCGCAAGAAGGAGTACATTGCCACCCAGGGACCGAAGCCGGAGAGCCTCATGGACTTTTGGCGCATGATTCTCCAGTACAACGTTCGAATCATTGTCCAGGTGACCCAGTTCCGAGAAGGCAATACGGTGAGCTCCAATCTAAATCGTATTCAAATCGAATTGAAACATAAATCGAATCCAAAAACAGATAAAATGCCACGAATACTTCCCGTACAACATGCGCGGACTGACGGTGACCGTCAAGTGCAAGGAGCACTTTGAGCTCTACGATCGGACCGAGCTAACGGTGGTGCACGATAAGTACGGTCTGAAGGAGAAGGTCGTGCACTTATACTTTAAGAAGTGGCCCGATCACGGCTGTCCCGAGGATCCCATGCACCTGATTGCCTTCGTAAAGAAGGTCAAGTCGGAGCGACGTCCCAGCTATTCACCCATCGTCGTTCATTGCAGTGCGGGCGTGGGCAGGACCGGGACCTTCATTGGTCTCGACTTGATTATGCAGCGCTTGAAGAGCGAGTCGAAAATCAACATATTTGAAACTGTCAAGAAGCTGCGCTTCCAGGTAGGTCGTCTATTTCTTCAGATGTGATCCGAGAGCGTTTTTCTCCATGCCAATCCGTTTCAGCGCATGAAAATGGTGCAGACGCAGCAGCAGTACACATTCCTTTATGCCTGCACCTATGAGCTGGTGAAGCACAAGATTCCGCGGGCACGCAAGCTCGAAGGCCGTCCGAAGTCGGCAACGGCGACCAAAAAGGTGAGCTTCCCCGAAGTTTCTGCTGGAAATGTAGTTGCCTCAGCTCCGAGCGCCGATCCAGAGAACGGTGTATCCACCTTGCAGCTACCGGCTCGATTCTCTGGCCTGCAGAGGAACAGTCAGCCCTTTGGGAAAGACGACATGAGCAGCAGCAGCAATATGTGACCTGAAAGTGATCGTCATTTGTGTATTTATTGAAATTGTATTAAACGAGTATAACTTAGCAGCACTAATAGCCAAAGAAATGCGTCTAAAGCAAACACACACTTTATATAAAATGATAATAAATAAAAATGTACAATGTTACAAATTGATTGGTTCACGTTCTCGTATTTATTTGAATTTTAAATATTGAACTGTTTGCGGCCAGCAAGAGTAGAGCGAGACAACTATATTATCATTTTGTTGTTTCATATGGACGTTTTGCAGCACTGTCCTGACCAAAACAGCTGATTAAAGTCCGAAATATAAAGAGGAATTAAACATTTTTATTTACAGCGTCATTTAACTTTTACAAAATGTCTGAGCGAAAGGTTCTTAATGTAAGTCCTAAATACATTAATGGTACAGTGTTAAGGTCACGACTAATTCCAATGCATTGCAGAAATACTATCCCCCGGACTTCGATCCGTCGAAGATTCCGCGGATGAAATTGGCCAAAAACCGTCAATACACCGTTCGACTAATGGCCCCGTTCAATATGCGATGTGTGACCTGCGGCGAGTACATCTACAAGGGAAAGAAGTTTAATGCGCGCAAGGAGGATGTGGAGCACGAGACGTACCTGGGCATACGCATCTACAGGTTCTACATCAAGTGCACCCGATGTCTGCAGGAGATCTCATTCAAAACAGATCCGCAGAACACCGACTACGAGATCGAGGCGGGAGCCACGCGGAATTTCATGGCCCTAAAGCTGGCCGAAGAGCAGGCCCGTCGCGAGCTGCAAGAGGAACGCGAGGAGGAAGCGAATAATCCCATGAAAATGCTCGAGAATCGCACCGAGCAATCGCGCAATGAAATTGAAATGCTGGAGAGTCTCGAGGAGCTGCGCGACCTGAACCGACGACAGCAGACCGTAGACTACACAACAATGCTGCAGCAATATAATACGGGGGAAACGGAGAGAGAACGCTTGGAGCGCGAGGAGCGAGAGGATGAGGAGTTTATCAAGTGAGTGCTCCACTTAAACTTGCCAATTGAGACTCTATATTTTTCTATTCCGTTTCAGATCTGTAAACTTTAAAAGCAAGCCCGAGGGTGGCACTCGAATAGTAGCCGAAGAAATCATTGAAGAGGTCAAAGAGGAGGCTGTGGACCTCCTGCCAGCCCCCCCGCCGGCTAAATTAGCCAAACCCATTTGCCCTCTTCCTGCGGCCGCATCCACAAGCAAAGTTTTGGCCGCTCAGCCTTTGGTTAAACGTAAAACCCCCTTGGTGCTGGTCAAGCCCAAGGCAGCAGCAACGACTAAGCCGACAGCAACCTCAACTACAGCAACGGATATTCCAAAGGCAGCTGAAGTTCCAAAGACCCCAGCTCCAGCAGCGGGTCTATCCCTTCTAGCCGCCTATAGCGATAGCTCAGAGGATTCCACCTGACACAGCATTTTACTGATCTTGTTTTTACCAATTCCAAGAAAAATAAGCGTCCTGCATCCTTTTGCCAGTAAAAACTCATAAAATCTATATAGTGTGTATGTTTTTATATACTTTGAATAATGCATCATTTAATTAACATCCGGCTTCAATTTAATCCAATTTTAATCCAATGATTTCGTCAAGGCCAATCAATCATAAGTCAAATAAATTTCAATTTCAAACAAAAAGTACGAGTAGATTATCCATTATCAAAATATCCATCGATGGTACCCACTCCCACCCCACTCTACTGAAGTCCATTTCGTGGACCGTTGTGTTGGGTGTGGATAGACTTACAAAATTACTTGTGGTTTAGTTAGAGCTAAACTATGGGCTATTTACAGAATGAATAATGTGAGTGTGTGTGTGTTTTATGTTACGCTTAAAACTCGGGCAATCAAAATAATAAATAATATCACAAGCGAAACAAAATTATAAAATACACGATGGGTATGTCCTAGGCATACGGTACGGCTGGCTATACAGGTGATTATCAATAAGGGTTAGTTATAGTAGGTATAATAGTAAATCCATTTAAATGATTCATTTCATAAATTACGAAGACACTGGTATGTTTCTATAGCTGTCATACATAGAATAGCAATCAATAGCATAGGCAATAGATAAGGCCTCCTCTCTCTGGTTCTCTCTCCTCCATGGGAGTGCGATTAAACATTACAAATTACGGTTTAAACAGTCTTTGTTCATTTTGGGGTGTGGCGGGTCACGGTGGGGCAGCCACAGGCAGCCACTTGTTTTGTTTTTTTGGTATATATTTTCCTGCTTTCTTAATTTGGTTTAGCCTTCTCTTAGATATCCACTGTGGTGGCCTGCTGAATGGCGTTGTAAGTGCTGGCGGCACTGCCACTGACACCGGCACCAGCACCGGCGCTGCATTTACGAGGAAGCACTTTAGGTGCTGTACCTGCCACACCACCACCACCACCACCCGCACCTGCACCACCGCCCCCATCGTAGTTGTGATTGTTGTTTTGCAGGAAATGCTGCTGCTCGGCGTCGGCCACCGAATGATTCAGCTCATACAGCTCCAAGTCGTCGTACTCTGAGATGCCCAGAGCTCGTGTAGGAGCATATTGCAGATCATTGTCTCCATCTTCTTCGTCATCTGTGTGCGGGTGATTCTTATGCCTGGTGCTCATGGCCACGGCAAAGTCCTCCAGGCTGCGCTTGACTGCCGCATCCGAGCCAGTACCCGAATCCTTGCTGGACAGATGATCCTGCTGTGCCTCTAAGTCGGTTTGCTGCAGATAGCTGAGCGTCAGACCCTGCTCCAGGCAGCGTTGCTCATACGAAGGCGTTGTGGTCACGATAAGTCGACTGTGAGCCCCCCCCTGGCTATCGCCGCATCCCAGATCTGCGAGACTGCGCGGTCGCAGTTGCGTTGGCTGCTGCTGGGAAGGAATACCATCTAGAACAAGCTGGGACTGGTGGGGCCTCAGCATGGTGCGATTCAACGTGGTCAAATGGGTTTGATCCTTGTCCAGAGTGGAGTGCTGACTGGCGTGGGTGCGCGCTGCCAGCCGTTCGGCAGCAAGGCTCAGCAAGAACTTTCGCTTCTGGTAGCGCAGGGTGCACCAAATGATGCAGCAATCGACCAGGACGCAGGTCACAGTCAGCAGGACTATACCCAGCAGCAGAACATCCCAATTGAGATTCTCCTTGACCACCACCAGCTCCGACTGCAGGGTGAGAGTGCGCGAATTGTCAGTAATCTCGCAGCGATAGTGTCCCGCATCATTCGATTGGGCGTTCAGAATCACGAGCAGTTCCTTGCTGCTCGTAAAGTAGTAGCGCTCTCCTTCCGCCGTCGTTGGTGAGATGTGGATCGGCTTGTTCTCCTTAAACCATTCGCGGTGGGGATGCTCCAGCTCCAGCTCTGCGTTCGCTGCCTCACTGAGGCACTCAAGCACACACGTGCGCCCGACAACCACCTCCTGATGCACCAGGGGGATGGTAGGCTGTGGCTTGTCTATAGTAGGGAAAGAAACATTACTAGGAGCCCCAAAAGCAGATGCTTTGCCACTCGTACCGTTCACCATCAGCGTGGCGTTCACCTTGATCTCGCCAGCAGCGCTCTCCGCCGTGCACGTGTAGATGCCCGAGTCGCTGGGCTTGGCGTTGGTTATGAGGAAGGCGTTTTCCTCGCGTATAACTTGAAGGCGACGCTCGGTAGCCGCTGGGAAATCTGTGGCCCCAAACTTTTGCAGAGCTATCTCCGGCATGGGGTCTCCACTGGCGGAGCACACAAGTCTGGCTGTTTCGCCGGCATCCAGTGTGAGGTTGGAAGGCACGTGCATAAAACTGGGATGAACTTTTAAAGAGAGAACATTACGATTATTGTGAGTGAAACCGATATGTTCAATGTGGCATGTGGTACTTACTTCCTATGGATATCTTGAACTTTTGCGCATAGGTCGTCCCAAAGGCATTGGAGACCACACACTGAAAGCGTCCTGCACTCTCGTAGGTCACATTGGTCAGCCGTAGATATCCATAGATGCTCGTCTGATTGGTGCTCTGGTCGTGATGGATTTGTGTCTCTGTGCTGGCTCCATCGTGCAGGGCCCCTGGACGCTCCTGGATGTGCTGATTGTCGTGGCGCCACTTGATCTTCAGCTCATCGGCGGCCGCCAGTGAGGCGGCTGTGGGAGAGCTGGCAATGCATTCCAATGTGATGTTGGCACCCTTCACGGCCAACATATTATCCGGCTCCTGTTTAAGCTTTGGTTTCGGCGAGTCAGCTAGGGAAATTTTAGCTTTAGATTATTGGATTCAGTGAAAAGGCAATGAGTCTAGGCATCTACTCACCACATATCAGCTCCGAGTTGGTCAGTGTGAGCAGTTGACGATCCAGCAGATGCTCGGGATAGCCACAGACCACGTTTGCCAGTAACTGGGGGGCCTGCATGGCAAAGTGACTCTGTAGCCACTGGCGGAACCAAATAAGCTCGCAGTCGCAAATGAAGTTCAGAGACTTGAAGATCAACTTCTGCAGTCGGAGCATGTGCTCGAACGCATTCGGCTGGATGCTGGCGAGAGCATTCGAGCCTAGATTCAACAGCTCCAAGTTATTAAGGCCACTGAGGGCTTTGCCACTGATCTGTTTCAAATTATTGCCATGCAGATCGAGGCGTCGCAGCTTGCGCAGGGCCTTGAACGGTGCAACGGCACTCTGATCCTCAATGATCCAGGATAGACGATTGCGACGTAAATTTAATTCCTCTAGATTCTTGACGCAATCGAAGGTGTTTTCCTGTAGATACTGCAGCTTGTTGTGGGCCAAATTGAGCTGCTTCAATCGCTGCAAGCAGTCCAAATGCTGCGGCTTGAACTCGCTGATGGAGTTGTGCGACAGATCGAGGGACTCCAGAGACTGAGTAAACTCCCAAGTGTCCAGCTCGATGCGGGAGATGGAGTTGTTCGACAGCGAGAGGTGGTGCAGCTTTGTCAGGTTGAAAAGGCCCTGCCGGGAGAGCGAACTGATTTGGTTGTGATCCAGCTCGATGCTCTCAATGTTCCGCATGACATAGAAGACGCCGTCCTGCAGCGATCGGATTTGGTTTGACTTTAGCTGAAGCCTCTGCAGGGATAGAAGACCCCGAAACGTGGACCAGTTAATCTCCAGATGATTGTAGCTAAGTGCGCTGTAAAATTCGTGAATCAGATGGTTAAAATCTTGGGGAAATCATAATTCATCAGCGTCATCAGCTTACAGCTTCTTCAAACGGTTAAGATTCTTGAACACGCCCACCGGCAAGCTGTTCAAGCGATTGTTGTTCAGCTCTAGGTCCGTCAGGTTGTTCAGTGCCGCAAACGAGTGCTCATCCACATTGGCTATCTCATTCCAGTTCAGTATTCTACAAAAGGAAATGAGTTACGGACTGCTTTCACTGCTGGTACACTCCTTGGACACTCACAAGTGCGCCAGGCGCGTTGACTTGGGAAAAGAGTTGGCCTCGATGCTGTGCAGCTGATTCCTGGACAAATCCAGGGTCTTGAGCATGGGCAGTACTGCCAGAGCCTCGCTGGAGATGCTTCGTATGCGATTGTTGGCCAATATCAAGTGCTTGAGTCCAGTCAGCCCCGTGAACTTGGGTATCACCTCCAGCAAGTTGCGTTTCAGTGTTCTGAACGAGAGAGCGATTAAGGTTAGTGAACACTCTAATAAATAGAGAGTAATTGCGAGAGTAAACACTTACACCTTAACCAGATTCGACAGATTTCGTATCTCCAGGACGGTCGTGTCGTTCAGCTTGTTATTCGCCAGATGCCTGGGAAGCGGGAATAGAGATAGAACTTAATTGATTGCATTTTTGCGAAAATCCCCGGCTTGACGAATGCACTTCAATTACGCCATAATTATCGATGCGTGGCAGCCGATAAGAAACGAACGAAACAGCTTTTGCATAATTTTGCCATGCATTAAATTGATTAAAAGCGCGACGATAAAATCGCAACCCCCCATCCGAAAAAATGTGAAAAATGGGAACAAATTTCGTGGCGAGGGTTGTTCCACACACTCCAATTTATGCTGTTGGGGGTGGTGTTTGTCATTTCATCCCCCCTACGTGGCACAGATAATAATACTTACAGAGTCTGCACGTGGTTGGGCAGGGCGGGCACCCTCTCCAGATGCAGCTTATCGCAGTCGAACAGGATATTCTGGCACTTGCACTCCTTGGGGCAGTTGATGTTGTTGTGGTTCGCATTGGACGCTGCCGCGGCGGCGGCCAGCTCCTTCTCCGCCTGCTCGTACTGATCGCCATCGTCCGCCACGAATCCGTTGGTCTCCAGCGAAGCGAATTGAATGGACGAGAGCTGCTGGGGAGATGTGGCTGATGCGGCCAGTGGGACATGCAGTGCGGCCAGATCATCATCATCCATGTCCACGTCTCCATCGGATTCGTCCTCGTGCAGCGAGAGGAAGTGCTGGCGGGACGAGGCGAGGCCGGGATTGGTGTAGTCACCTCCTCCTCTCGCTCCTGCGCCTGCACCATTCTTGGCCAGCATGGCAAAGAGCTGTTGCTGCGGCAACTGGTTATTGTAGGAGGCTCCGCCCGACTTCAGGAAGGCACTCAACGGCGATGCCGCGCCCAATCCACCAGCGGATGCTGTCGAAAGCGGCCCCGACGCCGATGCTGGCGCCTGTGCGGAGCTTTGACAAATTGTGCTCGCTGTTATCAGTAGAATGTACGTAATTAGCAGTAATTTATTGATTTTATTGAAATCATTGGTTGTAGAATAATTGCAATTATCATTATTGCGACTCGTTGTTGCTGTTTCCCTTGCTCTTTCTGCTGTTGCTTCTACTTCAACGTCGTCATTGGCATTGTCGTTGTGTTTGCGCCGTCTGCGGCGTCGTCGCCACTTCGTGCCCAGCAGCAGCGAAGCGAGGCCTGACAATATCAGCTTCCCACTGCCACTGCCTCGGCCACTGCTTGTGGCATTGTTGTCGAATATACTCCAGTTCTCCTGCTGCTGTTCTACTCCATATTTTATGGCCGAAACGTCCATTTTGCTGTGGTTTTTATTAAATTCGTCAATTTCCAAATAGGAGGCCACATTCAAAGAGCCGTTATTCCTGCGAATGTCACTCGGCGACGCTGGCACGGACCAGTGTTGCGAAGCATCGTCGGTTGTCCGAGTGCTGCCGAGTTATCCCTCGCATGATGTCGTCGCTGCAAGGAGAAAGGAAGGAAAGGAGCACATTGAGCGTCAATTAAAAAAATAACAGAAATTTAAATGGTGCAAGGTCTCTCTTTCTCTCTCTGTCTCTCTTTAGTACGTTCTCTACTATATATGTACATATGTACAATATACAAATATTAATTGTGTAGAGAGTGAGTGTCTGGTCTGGGCCGGAGAGCACAGAATTTATACTCATTAAAATAAAATACGACCGGATGTTGGGTGCGAAAAACGCGCCGAGCCAACGGTTTTTAGAATGCAAAAAAAAAAAGAACACAAAATGCTGCGAAAACAGCAAAACCTCGGAGCAGCAGCGACATCATCATCATCATTGCTCGCAGAGGCATTCACAAAAGTAATGTCTTCATCTCGTTCCAGAACTGTGCAGCGTATGCAGATTTTTGCGCCAGAGCAATGGTCTGGGCTTCGGGCTGGGTCGGAGGTGGAGGCGAGTCCAAAGCCCGCTAAATTTCGGTGACAGTACGGTGGAAGAGATAATGAAGATTGCAGCTAAATATACGTATGGATGGATGGATGGATGGATGGATGGACGGATGCTGCGCAGTTTGTTATTCGCGCTATCAGCTTTCCGGGGGGGGAAGGAACTGAAGACCACATTTTCCCACAGGCAAACAGACATTATCCCCAGACGCAGACACCCACCAAAAAGGGCAGCAGCGGCGGTTGCAGAAACGAGAAGAAGTAGAGAAAATACTTAGCAATTACCACAAACAGCACAAGACTTGCCAGACACTACACATACATACATACGTGTACGTGTACTTATATAGATGGGGCTACTAAAAATGGTCTTGCAGTTGCACACACTCACACGCAGATTCAGATACAGAGAAGCACAAAGATACAAACGCGTAAAAATGCCCAGACAACCAAATTTAGTAACAAGCCAGCAAACAGGAGCAACAAAAAGCACAGCGTAATGAAATCAAATAAAAAGTGCCCGCAACAGCGGCACCACCACCACCACCACCGCCGCCTCTTACTTTAGTTTAAAGATTTTTCTTCAAAGAGTTTTCACGACAGAAGAAACTTTCCGCGCATTTCTCACAGCTCCATGTCGGTTTCTCGCTCTGTCTATATATAGAGTCCGGCCGTATACACTCGAGTATTGTGCGAGTGCGTTCCTGGCTAGGAAAAACTTTCAAGTGTCCAAAGTGAAGAGGTATTGATTAGCTTCAGATTGTAGTAAAACTAGTACACTTCGACTGGCCTCAATTCCAAATAAAAGTTGTACACGAGCGCCAACTATCAAAAGATTGTCTCGGTTTCTTCGTTCTGTTCTACATTTTGTAACATTTATAGGTTTTTCTTCGATGGCCCTAATACCTCTCCACAACGTAACAAACAAACCATGCAATTATCTAATCAATAAGTTTGCACCGTCTTCGATCGCGGTATCTACAGAGGAAAAGGTTTATATTTATTGGTATTTGTACAGATCGTTCAAGGTAAATATTTGGCCGTGCAAGTGCCTGTCGTAAGAAATGATCAAACTTTCCACAGAGGGAATGGTTTACTGGGGGGTTTCGGCGTTCTAAATGGACTTCTGTGGCAACAGCTCGAACGTTTTTAAGCTCCACAAATGATGGTCATGGTCATGATAGCCGGGTGTAGGGCTCCCTCGAGGCTTAGCCATCGATCATCCTTCGCAGCAGACGATGCGATGGCATTTCGCACCTATCGATCACTCCCCCATTGTGGAAGACCGAAAATCCCAAGCATTGTGCGGGCCATTAAATCACTATCTTTCGGATATCTTTCGATCTTTGGATCAATTTTCACACACCAATCAGCAGCGAGCGCTAATTTCCTCTTCCCACAAAATGTGCCACCATTTTGAATCCATTTGCATCCATAATCTTCCATCGATTAATTCGCATATTGATAAACCCCCAAGTTCTTCTTACAAAAAATAAAGACGGCTCCAACAGAGATTTAAAGGGAAAAACCCACGCTGGCCAAAGAGTCGTTCGGGGGCTGGGGGCTTTCACTCTGAACTCATTTTCGGACAGCTACAGACAACACCAAAAATTTACGACAAAATGCAGATTTTTGGTTTTTTTTTTCAGTTGTTGTTTTTGTCAACTCCCTCACAATTTATTAGATAACGCACGAAACGGCCCCGAGCCGAGTATTGTATCTTATAAAAACGACAAAATGTCGATGTTGTCGCCTGTCCGCTGTTGATGATGATATGATAATACATACATCCATTGATGTGTATGTATGTATGTATGCTCGTACAATGCTCGTGGAAACAGAAACAGAGAAACAGCTATATCTACACATGTGTGTATACACTTTTATGCTTATGCTATCCACACACACTTGGACAGAAACACCTACATATTCATGATTGTGTGCATGAATGTATCTTCTAATGATCATTAGCCTGCGTCAAACAAGAACATCATTTTTCATGTGGGGGGAGTAGTAGACACCGAGTGATAGAGAGAGAGGGGCAGAGATAGGCAGGGAGGCAATCGACAATCAGTTTTTTTGTTTTGTTTATATAATTATCGCATCCCATGTGTGTGTCTCTGTGTCTGTAAATTTTTTCTTTTTTACCATTTGATTTCACTAAATGCTTTGGCTGCATTTTTATTTGACTTAATTTTTAGTTGCTCGTGTCTCTGTCTGTCGATTTGGATTTTAACATTTAAATTGGTAATTTCGTGGTGATGCATTTTCTGCTTTGTTTTTTCCGTTATTTCCCCGCTAGTGGCTGTAGCTGTTGCTGTTGTTGTCGCCCACCTCTTTTTTATTCGTCTCCGTCTTCGTCTCCATCGCCATCGCCATCTCTGTGTCTGTGTCTCTCATTGTGCTGCTTTCGTTTTCTGTATGAAAACTTTTGCATTCGCCCAAATCTTTTTTCAGTCTCTTGGCTGTTGTTTTACCTATTCTCGTTGTTTATTACCTTTGCCAAACGAATAAAAATATACACAATATTTTTGTGAATAAGATGCCGACTGTTGCATTTGCTCAAGTGTTTTTTCATCTCACGCTGCTTTGTCGTTGGGGCGGGCGTACAAAAAAATCAAATACAAGAAAAACAACCAAAGCTTTGGGCAGTGGGCGGTTGCGGCCCAGCTGAGGTGAGTGTCTGGGGTGTGGTTGGGCGAGATGGGATTGCTGAGCAGCTGCAACCGCTGAAATGCTGGCACAGTGGAATGATTGTATAAATTGTCGACTACTTTTTGGGGGTCTATCCAAAAATTAATGAAGAATGGCAAGTGGCCCGCATCTCATGAAACAGAAAATTTAAAATCTTCAGACTTTGTTCTCGATTTTCGTTCAAGTCCCACTGTTCATGTCTTCAAGGAAACTCTGAATGCAAAAGCGAGACGAAGATGAAGTGGTAGCTTTTGAAGCTGCGCTTTGTCGCGTGGTGCTCGTATCTCTGCTTCTCTTTTCGATTCTCTGCCGCTGCCGCTGTCGCTGTCTCTGTTGTGCTCGTTAGAAGGCAGGCGAATTTGCGTGGGCCCCAAGGTACATCAAACATGAGGTAAGGTAACCCTGCTCTCCAGGCATAGCATTCTGTTGGGTACACTCTCTCTCCTCCCCCACATACATGTAGCTTTACCTTCTGTTTAACATAGCTTGCGTGGGCCCGAGAACGGAAACCGCGTGCAGTCAACGCTGCCTGTTGTCGTAATGTATTACGTCAAAGCTGCCGCGCGTACGACTGTGTGCGTGCGTGTGTGTTTGTGTTGGCAACGAGAACCACATACATAAAAGGTAAAAACGTCGCGCTGTCTGCGGCAACTAATTAGGTAACGTGCCAGCACCAGCAACAACAAGAACCCCCATGATAAGGGGCAGCGCAGTTGGCAGCGCAGTCACAACGACGCAAATAGCAACATAAATTTCGCACACACACACCGACACTCACACAGAGGCACTGTGGGGCCTGCCATTCTGTCTGCCAGCCCAGGTCCATTGTTTTTGTTGCTCTTTTTGCAAAAATAAATTTAATTTTGTAGCCATTAATTTTCCACTCTAGATACGAGAGACGTCTCTACGTACGTGTGTGTGTGTGTGGGTTTGGTGGCTGCCACTGACTCAGCCAGGGCCTGCTAATTAAATAACTAAAAAGAGTTTATAATTGTGGTCTTTGTTCGTTTCCTACGCTATCACTCTCCACTGTGCGCGCGCTAATAACGGTTTATTGGGCGACAGGGGGAGCGAACCAACCAACCCACTACAGGGTCTCTCCCTCAATTTTGCAGTTTCTGGGATACATACATATGTATGTACCTCTTTCTACGTTTCACATTTTGATGCCCAATAAGCTACGGATACAAGTGGATCCAATACTCTATTCAGCATCTACAGTTGTTCAAATTTTGCTTTTGGTTTCTACATGTTTCAAGTTCAGTTTTTCGCAATTAGCAACCATTTATTATCATTATTCCTTTCTTCTTGTTCTGTTTGTGTATGCCAGTGTGTGTGTGTTTTGCGTTTGTTGTACAATAAATTAACGTCTTTTTTATCGCTGCGATGATAAACCGTTTTGCTTGATTGGTCTAAGGCGCATAAATCAAAAATAAATAAAGCGCAACAACCTCTTATTTTGTTGTTGTTGTGCTTCACCATTGTGATCGCTTGCGTTGTTCCGATTAGAATGAAGCGTGTGATATCATATGCCAAATATCCAGCCCCCGTATCTATTCGGGTGTGGTACTGTGTACTGAGGTCAGGTGAATCCCACAGACCCCTACCAAGCAATATGTACTTTGGGAATTTCTCTATCTTGGGGGTAGCGCGAATCAGCTGCGCCAACTGCGGAGCCCCTACAAACTTCTTTAAAATGTTGCCCGCACTCCCGAATCATCCTGCCATGTATAACATTGGAGACAATATCGTAATTATCATTTGTTATAGTATTATGTACTTCCTTGTACTTATGCTCGACAATGTTCGTGGAGGCCTACGGATCTGTTCGATCTGATCAGTTATGTCCATCAAAGCACAAACATACATTTCTTTGTATTTGTATATCTGAGTAAGTAACATCTGAAGCTAAGGAGCCTCTGAAACTACCTTTAATATAAATACATTCTTAATTCAGACCCTTATTGAACTTCCCTGAACTACACAGAAGACAAAACTAAACGAACAACATAACCCTATTATACTTATTTTCGGTAAGCAAAACGTTAGAAATACTACGTCCATCATACATATATCCTTTTAAGATGGCAGTGATTATACCCGATGCATCTGAAAATATCGAGCCACAGACTGACGTGGCTTCCAGTGCCTCTGTCCCCATGATGACCATGATGTCACCAGCTGCAGAGGAAATCATTGTGGCGGAAATTGAGCCACCGCTTCGGCTGCCGCTTCCACTTCGGCGCAGCGAACGCATCAAGTCTGCCCAAAAAAAGAAGCAGCGCAAACTGAAGACGCATCCTATGATTCTTCGAAGCCATTTGGCTCGTCAAAATAAAGTCAAAAACATCGCTGCTCGTAAGATTCGCAAGAGCGGTGTAAAGAAGACACAGATCACCAAGAAGAAAACAACACACCACATTTACGTTCAGATCAGGGGGAAACTTTTCAAGCTCTAACCAAATCACCAAAAAAAATCGATTTGTTCCACAAAAAATATGGTATACAAACACAGTTTAGGCTAAAATAAACTATTCTATTTGTAATTGAATAAATTCCAGTAAAGTTCCATTCGAATTCCATTTTATTCCAAGTTTGTATCCAAGAACTGGAGTACAAGGGAGGTGCAGCTCAGGAGTGATATCACCTAAATGACGGACTTGCACAATTATATGTTGCTTCAGTCATACAAATGTTTACCCGCAAAATTCCAAAATGTTCTGTTATCAGGTTATCAGATGATAAGCCCACTCCCCCATTGCTGGACTCGCGACAGTACGACACATATTCCAGATAGTGTCGATAGGCTTCCAGGCTTCTGGCTTCCAGAGTCATACGACTGCCTTGCGTCTCACCTTGAGCCAAAAAACGGCAGCTTGTAATCCCCGTAAAAGTTAAGCTGCTCATATTTTTAGGCATCAGAGAGTATCAGATAAAAGAGAAAAACGCCGAAGGAGGAGGAGGCGGGGAGTAAACGGAGCTCGAGTCGCATTCAAAAATTAATCTGCAGCGGCAATAATTTTCGATTTTTTGTGCTCTCAAGAAAATCTCAAGCATGTCAAATTGTATTCCATTCAACAACAACAAAATATAAGTAAAAATCGGGCGAGAAAGAAAGAAAAATGCGCACACTGAGCCGCCGACTGTCAAGAGATTTTAACGAAACGAGAGAATAAAAGGAAAAAAACGATCCTGCAAAAGAAGACTTACAAAAACAAGAAAGAACCGAAGAGGAGGAGACGGTGGCGACTTTAAAATACCCCTTGAACAGATTCTGTGAAGGTGAAAACAATTCAAACTTTTTAGAGCGTCATGGGCTGAGATAACTATAATGTAGGAGGATTTCCCCCAGATTTCCTGAACAAGACCAGGATATGGAGATATAGAGCCTTTTAATCCTGTAATCCTGCAAACTGCATCCGCACAGTATACCCTCCCACTCCACGAGTACCTGGGTAAGGCAGAGTAACAAAAACAAAATAATAAAGAACGCAGGGCTATGGCTGTCAGTCGCTGCCGCAGAGATCCCCCAATCCCGAGGTCCCACAACGCAGCAGCGCATACTCGTACAAAAGGCCAGAGCTGGCCTCTTCCGCGACCCAAGTGAGAAAACCAAGCGCGACACCAACACCAAAAACCGGCTATGGGACAGAGGAAGAGCAGAGGCCGGCCCGGCCTGCCTGCTTCTGGTCGGCTCTGTTCCACTCTCCCTCCCGCTCTCCCACACTCCTTCCTTGGGCCTACGCCATGGGGAATTGAATTGAATTTGCAGCCGACGTTGAAATTTCAGTGTGCCTGCCTTTTCGAAGGTGTGAAGAAAAAATAAAAATACAAAAGGCAACAACAGCCTCAGCGTCAGCCGAGCAGAGCAGCACAGCACGAAATTCTGAAAAACTCCAGGAACAAAATGCAGCCAAAGCTGAAACGAAATCAACTTAAGATCTGCGCAGGGAACAGAAAAACAACAACAGAAAACTGGATTGGATTGGGCCTCGTTTTCCTCAGGCAGGGGAAAGGGAACGGAATGGAAAAGAACAGAACCAAAAGAATATGGCAGAAAAAGAAAGAGATTCTGGGATTTCACTTGCATTGTTGTTGGCTGCTGCTGTTGCTGGATATGATCGGTCAAATGTATGTATGTATGTTTATGCCTGTTTGTGTGCGTGTTAGAAGGGAGAGCATCGCATCTGTTTCTTGCATTTACCGAGGCCAATGCCGACTTATGTTCGTTTTGTTTCGGGGTTTTTTCTCTCCCTTCATGTGTGAGTGTACATATGTGTGTGCGTGGCGAAGGTGAAAAGTACTTGCGGATTAGTAATAATAGGAACATTAATAATCCGTGCTTGACTTTTGGTGAATGCACAAATACCCTGCAATGGGATTTCATTCTATGACTATTTCAATAGAACACTTTGCCGAAGGGACAATGTTTTGTTTTGTGAATGAAAAAGGACGAAAGGTGCATAGGACCGTATGACTGACTCCGAATGTTAAATATGCGTATTCATTCGTTTAGTTCAATGTATCTGATGGATGTTTCGTCTAGGACAACCCTTGAAACCTACACATACGATCCCTATAACATAAGCCATACGTTCGCTTACATAAATAAAAAACATATCTTCGGACTCACAATACAATGAACAATTTCCCCCATAACAACTAGTCTGTTGCAAACGGTCTTTTGAAATCCGAACTCTGCATCCACCAGCTGCAGAGCCAAATATTGGCACACCAATTGCCACGACTTCAAGGCCCACAGTCGATGATTCCACTAGATATAGAGGCAAAATATATATTGCGACACAAACTGCAGTGTCTTCCCCACTGGAAGCACAGGAGAAATCAAAGCTTCGGCACCCCAAACACGCCAAGGACGGAGAGAAAAATCAAAAGCGCCTGCATCTGGAAGGAATAAAATGTAGTTATCATTTTAATTTCTCCAAAGACAAGACCCTTTTTTGTTCTTTAAATGAACTCTGACATGTTTTATATTTTGTGGAATTGGTTAAGCTAGATCCCTCGAACCCTAAACAAAACCCAGATCCAAAGTTACAGGCCCATGTGCAGGCAGATGCACATACACAATGCCAGCCATAGATTGAAGGAGCGACAAAGATATCCCGCATACTCACACACACACACACACACACACATATAATATATATTGTACATAATTCCCAACAACAACAAAACTATTCAACTTCGAACCGAATCTGATTTCTGAAACCGATTGTGTGTATGCCTTCGTTTTGTTGTTGTTGTTGTTGTTGTTGTTGTTGGTTCGGGACGTCAGTCCAAGAGTCTCGCTTAAACGAAAGCCGACAAGAAGGCAAGCCTACAGAGGAATCCTACACACTCCACACTCGACGATCCACACACTTCAAAAGACGTTGCTTGGTCGTCGGCTTAAATTGGTTTTTATTGTTGTTGCACACTATGTCCATTGTTGGTGGTGGTGGTGGTGGTGTTGGCCTGGGCCCGGCCTGGGCCTTCCCTGGGCCTGGGATCGGCCCCGACCCCCGACACTCGCATCATAGCTTCGTTTTGACCATATTTCTTGTCCGTGTGCCCGCTTTTCTGTGCCTTTCTTTGAAGTCGCATTTAATTCTTCGAGTTTGGGTTTCGTTTCGTTTCCTTCATTCTTTTTCAAGCCCCCACTCCAAGTCCAACTCCAACTTTAGCCCCAGCCCCAGCTGCCGAGACCTTTCCGAAACGTCGACGTTGGGCTGTCTGGCCGAGGTGTGAAGAAAAGAATTTTTCTGTGCAATAATCTTGATGCCTTTTTAAGATTTGTTGCTGCTGTGGAGCTGTGCCCGTGCCGTGCCCCCTACCCTCCCCATCTCCATCGCCTTTTTAGTGGGGACTTGCCTGCAGACGTTATTTTGTTGCCTTTCTTTAGCTTGCGCGATTCGTTTCAGCTGAAAAGTGGCTGGGTTTAAGGAAATTTACGCCATAAAATGCTGAAATAATTGGATACACTCGATCTCCCGATCTCCTCTTTGCCCGCACCCCACTGCATCCCGCTTTGAATGCATTTCAAATTGCTAATGATGAGGAGCTGCTTCTGCTGTTGCTTCTTTGGAGCTGCGACTCGACTCCATCATTGGAAGATGCTTTCGTGAGACAAGGGACATGCCATGGTCAAGTTTGGATTGGTTTGGTTCATTGCAAAAGGTATGTACATACATATGTACCTCTGGCCATCTGCAGCAATTGCAGCAAAACACCAGCACCGGCACCACACCAGCCACCAGACACCCATCCCCACTCGACGGCCAACGAAGCATTAAATGCATTTATTTATGAGACCACCACCTGATATGATCTCCTCCTGGCCGAGTCTGAAATGGCAGGCCAGGCAGGCCCTTGCTCGTATGCATATGATGTGGAGGTGATACTGAATTTAGCTAGAATTCACACCTTAAAGCAAGGCACAATATATTATATGCTCAGGTAAACACAATCGTAGCTCTGGAACCATTTGGCATTTAACCATTTCTGATGGTTCTGTTTGGCATACCTCGTCTCATGTTGGATTTGTTCAAAAATGTTCCCAGAGCTACCATTATGTTAGAAATAGACGATATACATAGGTACGTACGTAGAAGAAGTATCAGAAGTAGCCTTTTCCTTGGAATATACAGAGTATGAGTTACATACATATGTACAAAAAATGACCAGTTTTCTGAGAAAAAATAGCTACATGCATTAGGGAAACTTTTTCTGGTATTGCCTCGGAACGGGACTCACTTATCGGCCACGAGTAAAATCGTACAACTACAAAATGCATTCAACGCCTGCTGTCTGAAGGGGCTTTCTCCCTCGCCCTCTCCCGCCCCCTTCCTCTCTGTCGGTTCTCCCTATTCCCCCTTCTGGTTTCCCTTGCAACTGAAAGCCCAGTCAAATGCATCGAAAAGCGGCAGCCGCAGCAGCAGGGAAAAAACTTTGCACTAATCATAAAATCCCCCATCAATGTTAAATGTATAAATGCAAAAATGGAAACGGCACGAACATCGGGGCTGAGGCTGAGGCACTCACGAATGTGGGGCCCAGAAACAGAGCCTCATAACTAAATTGCATTAAGTGTAATTATAACTAATTAGAAAACAGAAAAACAGCAGAAAACCGAAGAAGACTGAAGACCGAAGGGGAGAGTCGGAGGAATAACTGGCACACGGCGAAAACGGTGGAGGAGAAAGGGTGAAAACGCTTTTCAGAACCGCTGCTTTTCTGGAAAGTTATTAAAATCAATGGAAATAATGCTTATGGGTTTGCGATTAGTTCCAGCGAAATTCAACGCAAAAATAATTGGCGAAATACATAGTTGTTGAATCAGCATGGGATTTGCTGAGGCAATGGATCCGAAACGATCAATGGGGAAACCCGGAAAAATTGATTTGTGACTATTTTTGCACAGATCGGATGCAATATAAAGTACTATTCAGGGCTTATTGTCTGGACTTTTAGATTGAGGGACTTTAGTCTCCATTTTGAGTCTAACATACAACTGTCGGAATTCTTTTGTTCGAGTCTCGGGGACTCAGAACCAACGCCACAGATATCCGCATGCGAGATAAAGCCGATTATCATCAAAGCGCGGATAAAGAGAGCTGCCCGTACCCGTACCCATACCCAAAGCACAATGAACTACGGCCTGGGCTTAGGGGGAGCCCAAGAAATAAATCATCTAATATAGCGCGCCATTTATCATCTGGCATGGCCGTGTGGCTGTATATCATTCATCTTTCGCATTTGTCCAACCACACCACACCGCTGGGTGCCTCAGGAGTTGGTAGAGGCATAGATACAGAATCATAGATGATCGTTAAAATGTTGGAGAAAAAAGAGAATGTATAGGATAGTTCACGATGCCAGAGAGAGAGAGAGAGAGAGAGAGAGACTAATGTTTGGCAAAAGTGAATTTCCAACTTAATTAGGCAGCAGAATGTGGCATTTACTTACCTATTCACAATATCAGCACAACGGGGGTCGGGGGTTGGGGATGGTTCTGATGGTGTGTGGATGTGGGCGTTTGTGTAAACAAGAGCGCGAGTGGGATAGACAGGCCCGAGCAGAGCCTTAATGTCTGCGGCGGCAACTATTACGTCGGGGTATGCATATGCATACGAGTGGGTCGGGTCGGTGTATGTGTGAAAGATTTGTACAAATGTTCGGCTGTCTGTACCGTTCTGTTTGTCTATCTCCTGCTTTAGCGCGATGTGATTCTTCGGTTGTTTATTCGTCACTTTAACACGTTCGATGCTGAAGCTGACGCTGGCGTTGCGCGCTGCCCCGCCGACTTCTGCTGCGACGTCACTGAGCTCACCGACACACACAGCTACACAATGTATTTTTATTCACTGCCTTTGTAGTGGTGTATTTGTCTTCAATTGCGGTGGCGGCATGCACATACACACACACAAACGCAGCCACACTCATTGACAACAACACTGCACGTAACGAGAATGAATTTCTGATTTGACGATATTTGTAGCTTTTTGTTTGTTTTCATGGATATTGTAGTTTTAGTTTTGTTCTAAACAATCAATTTGTTCACATATCAAGCGCCTGAGATAAATTCTTAGGTACATTTCAATCATAACCACAAGCATATGTATGTTTTTTGTTATTGCCGAGATTTTATGCTCACACGCTCTCCTGCCTTTTTCCCGAGAGTACGACGCAATCGCTCTTCGAATTATCGCTATCTTTGATCCTCGCACACCGAAGCTTTTTCTCTCGAATATAGGTTACTTTATGTTTATTTTTATTTAAATTATTTTTCCGAATTTTTCATTTATTATTTCGAGCACCGACGCGGGTACGGCCGTTGTGTCGCGGTCTCAGAGGTCAGTGTGACCGGACTTATCGATAAAACATAGCCGTCAGACCCAGTGTTGCCATTTCAGCTTATTTTAAGTAGATGTGGCTCATTTTAAAACAAAATAGCTTGAAAAATAATTGAAATGCTTACAGCTCGAAATCTAGCTTAATTCAAATTTAATTTAGCTTATTTTGGCTTAAAAAAATGTGGTACAAAACAATATTTGTTTTAAGATTTTATTGTAATATTTGTTAATCTTTATTAAGAAATAGGACAAAAATCATATTTTATGTTGCTATTTTCGTATATCATCAAATTTTGTGTATAAATGTAGGGTAATTATCGTTGATAAGTTTCAGTCACACTATAGTATTGCACATGTTTGCACATTTATATACAAAATATAATTAAAGAGTGGAAAGTTTAAAAAATAATAATAATTGAAAACAAAATATCAATAAAATTCAATTCTCCATTATATTGGTGTGTTTTTATGGTTTGCTTTTGTTAAAGATTTTTTTAATTTTTGGCTTATTCTAGCTTATTTTATCTTCAATCTAGCTGATGGTGACTCTCAAAATCTGGCAGCACTGGTCCGACCCTCAGAGATATACCATCTCATTTTAAAAATATTCCCTAAATATACTAACGAATTATTTGTATTCAAGTTGTTGTATTCGTTTTCGATATTCCCTGGAATATTACTAGCTATCTAGATCTTTCAGCCCTGCCCACATAGTTTTATCACATTAATGAACATATTTTCTACTTGACTGGCTTGTTTGAAATACTTGCTTTTATTATTTTTTATTTGCCTGAAAAAGGAAATGAAACAGCCGCAACTTTTGATTATTCGTTGATAAACGGGGTATCGGTATTTTTGAGCGGTAAGTGTAAGTTAAATACGGCGGCATCATACATTATTTTGAAAATACCAATATTACAGCCAATCTCCGATTTTGCGATCGTTTTCCAATTTTTTATTGCATTTAGAATGAAAAATGTATTGATTCTAGAGAGCGGCAGTTAAATCCTTTGATCTCCAATTCGTTTGCGGGATAAATATCATTTGAAAAAGTGTAGTTCCAGTGTTGGAAACAACATAAAATGTAGTCGGCTTTGTAAGATGCAAAATGACAAACATAAGAATCAACAAAATAATGAAGCGCTTGAACTGGAGTTTACTATTACATTTAAAAAAAATGACTACAAATTTTAACATACAAATTGGCAACGCAACCTTCTAAACAGTGCTGAGTAATGTACGACACCTACAGCAGTTCTTGCAATGTCTGTATTAAACTGGATTCCTAAAACGTTAACAAAAGTGGTACTACAGTTCAGAACATCGAAATGCCTGCCACAGGCTTCATATCCAATAGGCCGCAGTATCTGGGGCTATGTGGCAGTCGCCTTCAACCAAGTGGATGCGGAGCGTCTCGCCAAGGTGGGTCCAAATAGGCTTTGTGCCGAATGGATTGTGAAAAATGGAGGCGGTGTGAGGTTTGTGGACAACCCGACTAAGTTGTGGAAGGACTACAACTCGCTGCCGGCGGAGACGACCAAGTTTGCCATCAAAGTCGTGGATGCCACTAACGCATCCATAATGAAAATTGGACTGGCTCATTTCAAGGGATGTAATTCAATTGACACAGTCATCTTTCACAACTGCAAGCATCTGGAAAACGATGGATTGGAAGGATTGCGGCACATCAGAAGTTCGCTGGAGCGGCTTCAAGTTTCCGGCTGCTATGACATCAGCGATTCTGGTCTGGGCGTAATAGGCGAACTCAAAAACTTGAAGCAACTGCTTATATTTGATATGCTTTACGTAAAGAACATGGAACAAGTGGCTCTTGAGCTGAAGAAGCAGCTGCCAGATTGCGACATCAAAGCCACTAAATTGGGCGTTCAGTTGAAAGAGAAGTAATAAATGTTGATACAACAAAATGCCTTCTTGCAAGTCGTTATGGTTATGTAATCGAAGAGTCTAGATAAATATATTATATTTATACAATAATATATATATTATATATTAGTTTTGTGTAATTTTTTTGTTGGCTGCCTGGCCACTGGCGACACTGTTAGTGTTGGAAAATACTCAGCTGTAACATGGTATCGACAGCATTTTCGCGCGTCTGTCAAACGGTCATACCAATCTAGAAAACAGGACAAGTTTTGACCCCTTTTTCCAACAAAATGTAAAAAAAGGAGTGCAGTCCGAGCTGAAATGAACAAGTTGAAGTATTTATTAAGCCTGGTGACCCAGCCACGGACCATATCGAGCAGCAGTCCGAAGGAGCAGTTGCTGAACTGCCTTACCTATGGCTTATTTACAATTGTCGCTCTCTGTGCGGGCTTCCTGCTGTGGGACCTTTCGAGCAGCCAACGAGATGGATTCTTCTATGGGAAAAAGGACTCGCACACTCTGGTGCTGGACCTCTCGCATAGTCAGGAGGTGATCCTACACTCAGATGCAGACCAGCGGAAGCGCAATGGGAACTGCACATTCTGGGACTGCCTGAACATCTACAAGTGCGAGCATGATAGACTCAAGGTTTACATTTATCCGTTGCAAGAGTTTGTGGATGATAAGACCGATAAGGTTGCCACCACATTGTCCAGCGAGTATTTTCAAATCCTGGAGGCAGTGCTCAAGAGTCGCTACTACACGTCGAACCCCAATGAGGCTTGCTTGTTCCTCCCAAGCTTGGATCTGTTGAGCCAGAATGTCTTTGACAAACATTTGGCGGGGGCGGCCTTGGCTTCGTTGGACTTCTGGGAACGCGGAGATAACCACATAATCTTCAATATGCTGCCAGGAAGTGCCCCAGCCTACAATTCGGTTCTGGACGTGAACACGGATAATGCCATCATATTTGGCGGAGGCTTCGATACTTGGACGTATCGGCCGGGCTTTGATGTCGCTATACCCGTGTGGAGTCCCCGCGTAGGGCATCAACATCCGCATGCTGCGGCCCAAAGAAAGTTTGTCTTGGTTGTGGCACAACTTAATGTCCTTCCTCGCTTTCTGAGAACCCTACGCGACCTGTCCTCTGCTCATGCCGAACAGCTGCTGCTACTGGGACCCTGTAATGGCATGGATCTCTCCACCCGCTGCTCATTCTCGCAGCATCACAAACTCATGGAGTATCCCCGTCTTCTGTCGCATGGAAAATTCTGTTTTGTGGGCAGAAGCCTTCGTCTGGGTCAGCCCGATCTAGTAGAGATAATGTCCGAGAGCTGTATTCCCGTGATTGCCATTGACAACTATGTGCTGCCCTTTGAGGACGTTATTGATTGGTCTCTGGCGTCTGTACGCATACGCGAATTTGAACTGCATTCCATAATGCAGAAGCTAAAAGCTATTTCAAATGTAAAAATTGTTGAAATGCAGAAACAGGTCCAGTGGCTCTATTCCAAATACTTCAAGGATCTGAAGACCGTGACGTTGACGGCTCTTGAGGTACTCGAGAGTCGTATATTCCCTCTTCGCGCCCGCAGCAGCCGACAGTGGAATGCAATTGCCACCAATCCCCGCGCCACCTTCAATCCGCTGTTCCTTCCTTCGTTGGCGCCCAAATCTCAGGGCTTCACAGCCGTCATTCTCACTTATGACCGTGTGGAGAGCCTCTTCCTGTTGATCCAAAAACTGGCCGTCGTGCCCTCGCTGCAAAGTATTTTGGTCATTTGGAACAACCAGAAGAAGTCACCGCCACACTGTAAGCACGGACTGAATATTTCAATGTTTATCCTTGGTATTAAATACGGACTTGTTCCACTGCAGTATCGACATTCCCATCCATCTCAAAGCCGCTGAAGATCAGACAAACCAAGGAGAACAAGCTATCGAACCGATTCTATCCTTATCCGGAAATCGAGACTGAAGCCATTTTAACCATAGACGACGACATTATCATGCTAACGACTGACGAGCTTGATTTTGGGTAAGAATGAGCTGAACTATGATATCCTATGAATTCCAGTTAAAATCTGACGTTTCTTAAAGCTACGAGGTTTGGCGAGAGTTTCCCGACCACATTGTCGGATTCCCCAGCCGGATCCATGTGTGGGATAATGTGACAATGCGCTGGCACTACGAATCGGAGTGGACTAACCAGATATCTATGGTGCTCACCGGCGCCGCCTTCCATCACAAGTACTGGAGCCACATGTACACATATGCCATGCCAGGGGACATCAAGGACTGGGTGGACGAGCACATGAACTGTGAGGATATTGCCATGAACTTTCTGGTGGCGAATATTACCAACAATCCGCCTATAAAGGTGACGCCGCGAAAGAAATTCAAGTGCCCCGAGTGCACCAACACCGAGATGCTATCGGCCGATCTGAATCACATGCGAGAGCGATCCGCCTGCATCGATCGATTCTCCAAGATCTATGGTCGCATGCCGCTGCGCACGGTGGAGTTTCGAGCGGATCCAGTTCTCTTCAGAGACAATTTCCCGGATAAGTTGAAACGTTACAATGACATTGGCAGCTTGTAAATGCCGCAGACGCACTGATATTCCGGTAGAATGATTATGAAAATACCAAAGACTTATGGGAATAGCGCTCAAGTTTAGAAAGAATCTTTTCTGTTGCATTCGAATATATCAATGAACAATCCTAAGTCAAAACCAGCGCTATTTGGTGCGCACTCACTGGATAGAAAACTCACATAGAAAACTGTTTTAGTTTGGAGTGATGAATCCTGGACTGGAGGACACACCTACAAATATCCATATTAAAAGTTGATATTATCGTAGAAAAGAGTTTAATTTTAATGATGATTAGCCCAAGGCTAGCACGACTGCACGAATGGGATTCGTTTTAAGCGGACTTTGGAAATTATTAGGCGTGGAAAAAGTGATGAGAATATTTTAAATGCTAAGCTAATATCAATACGATACTTTTGGTGCTCTGTTTTTATGGACTAGGCTTCGTTTATGGATGCCAAATACTCTTTGTAGCGTTGTTCCTGTTGCTGCTGCAGTTTTTGAAGCTTTTTCACTTGTCCTTTGCTAATCTCTTTGCCTTCCTTGTCGAGAGTTGGCAGGCCCTAGGATTTGATTTGACTTAATAAGAATGCAAATTCCAGCTGTGATTCATGTTTTACTTACATTCTCATCGAAGGCCGAGTACTTTTCCGTTTCGCCAAGGAACATCTGCTTGGGATTGACGCGACGCTGCGCATCCTTGGCTGCTGCGGCTGCGGCAACTGCCTGCTTCTTCCGTTCCTTCTCAGCTGCTTTCTCTGCTTCGGCGGCCAGTTTCGCCTCCCGCTCGCGCAAAAGCGAGTCGCGATCAACCAGCTTGACGGCAAACTTGCCACCATCTTTGTCCTCGAGTCGGACACCCAAATTGGGCAATATATTGTCACGCAGGTCGTCGCACAGCTTTAAGATATCGAATGCCTTTAATGCCTTCGCCTGCTCACGCACCAAGTTGCGGAATTCCGCCAGAGTTTGGACATAGGGAAGCACTGTCGTCTCCAGATCGCCACCAGCTGCCTGAGGCCCGGCTCCGCCGCTCACTGGGAATCCGATGCCACCTCGTGGTCCAGCAATGGCGCCAAACACATGCAACAAGTCGGTTATGTATGTGGCCACATTGCGCAGCAGCAGGCTATTCAGTCTCGACTTGTTGTCCCGTATGTAGACATTGGAGGCGGAAACAAGCTCCCGAATGGCATCGAGAGCACTGCGCGTGTCTACGTTGTCTGTATCGTGAAAGAATTCATTAGTGAATTTAATTTATGAACAAACGTTTCCTCAAACGAGCACTAACCACAAAGGGCCGCATGCACTTGCACCTGGGAGCTGGAAAACTTCTTCTGCAAGGCAGCCTCAACATCGGTCCAGGCATCAAACTGCCGTCGCGGCTCTTCAGACAGCACGTGACGGGTCAGGTCTTTCACATTCAGGAAAAACTCCTGCAGGGACAAGCTTTAGTACTAGGTTGCTCTCATTGTATAAAATTTGATGGTGCTTACGTTAAGGAACTTCTCGTATTGCGTCGCCATTTCCATGGTGTTCTCGGAGTAGTCGAGCGTATCCTTCCACGAGTGGAGGAGGAAGGCCAGACGTAGCTGGGTTGCCGAATGCTTTTTCAGCGCCTCTTGAATGGTGACGAAATTCTTGAGAGACTTGGACATCTTGCATCCGGCAATTGTGAGATGGCCAGTGTGTAGGAAGTATTTGACCCACTCGGACTCGTTGAATGCCGCCTCCGACTGGGCCAACTCATTGTCGTGGTGTGGGAACTTTAGATCCACGCCACCTGTGTGTATGTCGAATGTTGAACCGAAGATGTCCGAGGCCATGGCGGAGCACTCGATGTGCCATCCGGGACGACCTCGTCCCCAGGGACTGTCCCACCAGGGCTCGCCGGCCTTGCTGGCCTTCCACAGGGCAAAATCGTTGGCCGAACGCTTCTCTGAGAGTCGATCCTCGGCCACAGACAAGTCCCCTTCACCCTCCTGCAGTGACTTGGTGTCGCCATATGCCTCTGGCACCAGCTTGGCGTAGTGATGCTTCTCTTTCCTGTCGAAGCCGTTTACATCAAAGTAGACGGAATTGTTGGCTGCATAGGCGAGGCCGTTGTCGATGATCTTTTGAATAAAGGCCACAATCTGTGGCACGTATTCTGAGACCCGCGTGAGCACATCTGGTGGGAGAATCTGGGATTTCCCAAGAGATACAATAGGGTAAAGTTCTGGAACTCATTTTTTATGACTCACGTTTAGTGACTTCATGTCGTTGTGAAACTGGTCTTCCCAGAAGCGGGGCAGAGACTCAAAGACAGCATTGTCATTGATCTCAGCTCCCTTCTTGCCATCCAACCACTCTGCAATCGGGTCCTTGGCTTCGTTTAGGTAGTGTTGCCGCTTCTCAGCGATGCCCTTTTCGTCACCTTGGCTAACTGCCGTTGTGAGTGCAACAACGGCATCGTTCATACGCTGCAGAGTCTTGTCCAGCATCACCTTCTTATCGGGATCCGTGTTCTTTGCGCACGTTTCCTGAAATCGCACGAGCACTTCCTTCTGATGATCCAACAACTGGTCGAGGGGTAAATTCGCTGATTCGCCGGCATATTCTTCGAAGAGATGATTCTGACGAGCGCGCTTGATGATTTTGTCATCGATGTCCGTGATGTTCATCACATAGTGGATGTTGTACCCAAAGTAGTCGGCCAGAATGCGTCTCAGAATATCGAAGGAAATGTAAGACCTAAGAACGGAACAGATAAGATACCCACTCTGCGATGGTGATGTGGCGCTTACCGTGCGTGTCCCATGTGCGAGGCATCGTAGACAGTCGGACCGCAGCTATACCAGGTTACATTGTTCCCATCCAGCGGCACGAAATCCTCCTTTTGTCTCGTCAGGCTGTTGTACAGCCGTAGCTTTGGCCGCTCCGCTGGCTTCGGTGCTTGCCACGCAGGTTGTACACGTTTAGACATTATTCTTTATATTGGTAAATAAATCGGCAAATATTTCGTCAGCAGAGAAACAGTTCTGTCGCACTGGCAACACCGCTCGCCCGACCTGGCGTTGCCGGACCGATGAAGCGGACAGGACCATGTTTGGACTATTTATTATTCAAAAAAAATTAAAGGATATGCTGATGTTTGCGAGTTTGTGACCCGGCTTGGTCATTTGATAAATTTATTTGTCTCTATAAGCTATACAAATATAATTTAGAAATTTGTCTGACTAGCTAAAATTGTGGTATTGGATTCTGGGTACAATTTCTCTTGTACCGTAGTAACTATATTTTGAATTTAAGCCGAAGAGAGTGGCTTACAGGCGATCATGTAAACTGGATAAAGGTCCTTTGGAAAGTTTTGCTGGCGCACTTTCCGCACAATCCGAAATCCAGCCGCCTTTAACGAGATATCGTAGTGCTCCAGAGGTCGAGTAACTGAGGAATCCTCGTCGTCAACGATTATCTCCTTTGATTTGGTTACGTTCTCCTTAAGGACAAAGAAAGCGCCCGGCGCCAGTCCCTGCCGGATGCGTCGAAAGAAGTCGATCAAGTCCAGCTCAGTGAGATGTCCTAAGACCCATTGACTCCAGATGAGGTCGTATTTCTTTGTGGGAGTGAATTTCTGTAGTCCAACGTTGTAGATCTCCCCCAAGCTGCCGACTGGCGTGTTTTCAGTTGTGCAGTACTCCCGGGCCTTGTTGGCAAAAGCTGGGTCTTGCTCCACAAGATCCACGCAATGGAAGCGAGGTATTAGCAGGTGTCTAGTAATGCGGCCAATACCGGCTCCGCAGTCCAACGCCAGCTTGTTTCCCGGCACCCTTATTTCGCGTAGGAAGTTGTTGGAGCCCTGTATATCGGTGGCGCTGATGTATCCCATGCCTCCCAGCATCCCGTTGACTGTGGCTGGCACTCCCGACCAATATTTTTGCGCTTTGCCATAAAATTTTGGCTCCTGAGCATTGCTTGCATCGGAACTGATTGCGACCGCATCGGCTACCTTTGATTCCGGTCCATTTCTGTTTTCCTGCGTGCACTCCTTGTCCTCGCTGCTGTCCATTTCGTCTTTTAAAGTATTCACACACTTTTCGGGAGCCGGTCCTTCAGTCAATGGCATCTTTTTTTGCTTTGAGTTGTGTCTCAAATAAACAAAAATGTCAACAAAAAATTAAACCAAAGTGTGTAAATCAAACGTACGATGAAAAATCGAACTTAACCCACTTAAGCCCCCGTTATTTGAACAGGATAGCAACCTGAGTTAAAACGCAGAAAATAGTACTAATAATAATAATTCATCTTGTAGATTCATCCAATCCTTCATCTTTCCTTATAACAAAGACCAAGACATCTTTCACCAGAACGGTGAATATTTAACTACCCCCTGGTCTACAATGGGTTAATCGATCTATGCCCATGCTCAGAAATAATATTCCTTGATTTTAATATTCGGCTTAATATTACTGGCTAGCTAAGACACTCAGCCTTAATCAAATAGTTTTATCCGATTGATGATTCGATTTTCTACAGGATTGGTTTATTTAAGGAACTACCCTTTTTTGGATTGTGTCTAAAATAATGTTTAAACAAAAAAGGTAACAAAAAAGCTAAACGTAAGTGTAAGCGAAATGATTCAGCCATGAGTATGGACGTTTTTACACCCTATTTCATTTGACTGATAGAACAATTCTGTTTTTTAAGCTTTCAACCTTAAATTATAATTACCTTTTCTTAGATTGAGTTTGTTTAGACCTATTTATGCATGTGATAAGTTTCCTGTATCTCGATCCCGATAACCATTTTTAGTCTCTGTAAGAAGACATTAACTCTGCCATAGTTTTTACTACTGTGAACTTCATGTGTTAATCTAATCTTTATATAATTTAATGATCGTCATATTTGTCACCAACCTCATGGGACACATGAGCTGTGCTCGAATCAGTATTCCTTGAACAGTCGCAAACAGAAGAACACTTAATAAATATGTGGAAGAAATTGATTTTTGCTGTGGTGCTTGTAGCCTTTGTGGGCGTGCGATTCGGTAAGAAAATTTAGTTTGATTCTGATGATCCAGTTGATAACCGAATCAATTTAATAATTAGCCAGCTCGCTGACCTGCTACAGCTGCAATGATGCCACTTCTTGCAAGAACCCCACGGTCCAGACATGCTCCAACGCCACGGCCAATGCCACCAGCGACTGGCTTTCGACGTACCACAACGATGTGCCCGAAGTAGGTGGCAGCCAGAGCTTCTTGTGTGCAAATCTCACCTACTACACAGGTCCGGAAATCCCGCCCACAACACCTCTTGGCCCTAACAACACGCTTACGAGTGAGTTCCTTGGCTGTGCCCATCCGGATATCAGGATCTGTGCTCGTAATCTGACCGATCCGGATGCCAGGGCCAACTGGAAGTCGCACTGTGGCGTCTGCTATACTGACAACTGCAATTACGATGGACCCGCGGGAACCTTCAGTGGTAGTGCGTACACCATAATTGGCTCTATCTCTGCGCTGCTATTGACCAAGGTTCTCAGTTAATTTTTAATAAAGTGCTTCAACGTTGTACGGAATCTTAATGATAACCTGATCGCATGTCTCTCCCTACACAAAAACTGACCGGTGAAGAGAACTTCAGCTTAAACCAAAAAGCCGTTGAGTAGTTGTGCCTTGGCCAAGCAATATGTGTGGTCACACTGGCTTTAATTTGAAGCATTTTAACAGTCTGGCAGCACATTCGTGCGTGCCAAATTTAAATTTAAAAGGATATTCGCAATTTATGTATATATATTAACGCAAAAAATGGTATGAGTGCAATAAAGTTCCCTTTTCGATGGTTTCCTGGGCTATCGAGCTTCCATATTTTCCTTCCTTCTCTACAAAAGCTTATCTCAATCAAGAGCTTTCCATTTCACACCTAATGTGCGTTATAGCCCTTCGGCAAATTATATTTAATTCCATTAAGGTCATGAAAACCGAACAAACGACAATCAATGAGTGAAATTATATTTTTTTTTTCACAATAGGTGAAATAGGTGAGTCAAAGGTATGTAGTCCGTCCAAAATTTATATCCGCTTGGAAACCTGTTCAGAACGATCCAAAAGACTTGCCTTTTTAATCGCTAGCAATTCTGAGTATTATGATGATTTATACCTTTTGCAAAGGGCTATCGTGGGGGTTTATGGTTGGTGGTTTCGATTTTTAACCTAATTTGACTGATTGTGGGGTAGGTAAAGGTAAAGATAAGTAACGATAAGATAAAAGAAAATAGTTGTGAGAGTTTACAATTTTAAAATAACACCTATGCATTAATATGTGTATGTATTTCCCCCATCGGCTCTTTTAACGATAATCTAATCGTATTTCGTCCGTGGTATCTCTCTCGTAAATATCGGATCGTTAAAGAGTACAAACAAACCTGTGGCGTAATTTGAAAAGCCGTTGAAGCTGGATAACATTAAACTTCAGTAGTTTTGGTATTTTTCGGTACTCCAGCAGTCTGGCAGCACATTTGTACGCGGCAAATTCAAATTTAAAAGACTACTTTTTTATATATCTCCTTTTTTTATAGGGTTACCTTTTCAGGCTCCTAATCAGTTTGTCTGCTCAAAACGACTCCCGAGTTGCAATATATCAGTTTTTCATATCTTTGGTCCAATTTCATTTGAAACTGCTTGATTAAATTTGGCAACTCGAAATGCAGAGACGAAGGAATCATCAAATATGAATGCAACTGTGCGAGAAATAGAGAACGGCAGAACCAGAAATCATGAAGACAGACACGTGCCCTAGTCATTCTTAGAGGTCGACTCCATCTCCGCCGCCACAAACCATCATAGTTCAGTTTTGTAAGGCATAAATTATGCGCGACTTCAGCGGCAGCGGTGTTGGCCCGTCAAATTTGGCACCTGGCCCCAACCGTAGGGCTAACCTTCGTACCGGAGGGCGCGTGCAACAATTTTACAGCTCCTTCCCCCTCCCCACCCCGTTCTCAATGGTGTAATGAAAGTGTTTGAGCGGAGCTGCTCTATATATCCAACATAGTAGTCGTATATTTGTGTAAACAGCTTGTACTATGACAGAGCGCGGCGGGGTTCTGGCTGTAATTGAAATTGCGCGGCGTACGCGGCATTAAGTCATAAAAACAACAACTATAGGCTCACTATACAGCGACGGCTACACACCGTATACACTATGCTACCCAGCAACCAGTTTGTCACACTCTGAGGCCAGGCACGTACGCGCCAAGAGGTCAAAACGCACTCTGGACATGAACTAACACATGAAACGGGGGAGGGATGGGTATGGGGATGGGGATGGGATGGGATGTGCTGGGGACAGGCAAATTGTGAAACTTGTCCGTTTCTGTCCATCATCATCATCGTCGTCGTCATCTTGCGAGGCCCAAAACTGTGCGGGTCATAAAAGAAGTCACAAGAAGCGTACTTAGAACAAGCCAACACACAGAAACCGAACCACAATTCCTGTTCAGGCCACAAAAATTTAATTAAGGTCTGTGTCTCAGTCTGGGCTTCTACAGAAACGTTTACCCAGGCGATGCATGGGGGACAGCAGCATCTGATTATGTAATGCTTAAACAAATAAAAAAACACAGCCAACCGATCCATGTACATGGAGGGTACATGGAGCATTGACTCTCTTCGCTTCTCGCAATTTTTGTAAGAGGTGAAGTAACATTTAAAGCTTGGACCCAGTCTGATGGATCTTTTGGTTTCTCAAAAGTTGTAATTGAAATGTAATTAATTCTCAGCATTTAAGACTGTCTTGGGGACTGTTATGCAATCTCCTTGTGACTCCTGTCCGCCCTCGCTGGCTCCTGAAAAGAGTCGCACAGACTGGGATACATCCTTTGGCACATCCTTTCCCAGCGGTTTCTTTTCTCTGTCTATCTGTCCGTCGCTCTCCTCGTCTGGCTCCCTCTCGAAATTTGATCTTTTTGCCGTGATAAGAAATTGAGGGATAAGAAGGCGCAAAGCATAAACACGCACAAGGAAATGCTTGGGTTGGGTCGGGCAATTGCTATGCCGAAGGTCCTTTGTCTTTAAGGACCTTTTATGTCTTATCAAGGCGAGCAAACTTGGGACGCTCTACGGATCCTGCTGCTGCTGCTGCTTGCTCCTGGCTACTGGTAATACAATACTTTTGCTCTCCGAATGTTCTCTGCAGGAGTACAGGACCACAATCCACAGCTCCTTTTTAATTTAATTCGCGAGAATTTAAGGCGGAGGTGCCATGCGGTGATGTGATCCTCGGTCCTGCTCCTGCTGCTGCTGCTGCTGATCCTGGCATATTCCGATCTGGCCTGGCTCCCATTATTGTGTCAGCAACTTTATAAATTGCGCATAGAAAACAAACCGCCCGCAAATACCGCAGAAGAAAGACCCCAAGCCATCCTTTGTCCTCCATGATTGCTGTTTATATTTGGTGCTGCCTGCCCTGAATGGCAATCAATCAATCAATCAAACGGTCTGGCGATCATCTCGCATATCGATATCCATTTACATAACGCGAATAGCGGCACGTTCACCACGTTCTAATAAGGAGACATATCTATTACTAATCGTGTATTGAGTGAGTATGCCACGGGTGGAAGGAAGCGGACCCTTGAGAAGGTTGAGGGTGTTGGAGGAGTATAATGCGTTCTTCAAAAGAAGCCTGGAATTTATCAGAGGAGAAGATAATTTGCTGAAAACGTGAGTTAATTTGAGGAACTGAAATTAATTAATACCTCTGGAAATGAAATGAAATGAAATATTAAGTTTAAACCTTTCTTGTGCCACAAAAACACTCGCCTGTGCCTGCTGGATATGTATGGCAGATGTGTATCCTGGCCCACCCATGCCACGCCCCAAACGACCGACTCCCTATGCGGCATATGTATCCGGCTTGGCGAACGAATTCTTGTACATAAACACCTACAGGCGCACAGGCACACAGACACACAGACACAAACACAGTTAACGTTCCTCCAGCCAATGAGAAAGGCCTTTCGCTCGCATATGTGTATCTGAAAGATTATGTGTTCGTAATTGTATCTGTATCTGCAAATGTTCTTGGTTTCGGTTTCTGTTTGGGGTTTCGGCACCTCAGCTCGTGACTGCCTCTGCCTCGAGCCGAAGGAGGATACGAATATCAGAAAAATCAACCAAACTAAAGAAAAATTGTATAATAATTGCATAATTAAGTTCGAAGCGGAAGGGAGGGGGGGAGAGCGGGGAGATCTGTTTAGTTTTAATTTGTGTAAATTGTTGGTCCGATAAACATCGCGCGTGTCGTGTCCCCCTTCGAGTGTCGGCCAGCGAGGGATTATTAATTGAATTAGCGCCTCGACAGCGGCCTCTGAAGAGGATACTCTCTGTTTGATCTGATCTCTCTCTGTCTCTCTGATCTGGTCAGCCCTGCTAATTAGTGGATGCCCCTGCCACAGACCGCCGTCCGCAGTCCCCAGTCCCCACTGTAATGGTACAATTGCAGACAGGAAGTTGACAGCTAATTGACAACCACGAACGAAGATGAAACCCTCTTCTCGAGGCGATCCATTAAGCTATGAACGTTGTTTCATATCAGGCTAAACCCAAATCATGATTTGCATATGACAGAGCCATCGATTGGGGGAATTATAGAGAGAGAGTGGCGGGAGGGGGAGGCGTAAAGAGCTTAGGGAGCTTCCTGTTTTACAGCCATCCATCAAGAAATTCGCACGGTATTATTGACAAACGGATATGGGATATGGCGCTTTCAGAGTCATTTTCCCAGGCCAGGCATTAACCATCCTCCTGCCGAGCATCGTCACGAACATCCTTAAACATCCTTTTTCCCATCCGCATCCTCATACTCATCCACATCCTCAACGCATACCGCATCACTCCCCCAATCGGTAAATCACGCTAATAAGCCGGTAATGAATATAATGTATGTAAGTGTAGCCCTTGCTCTCGAATGCTTCCCTTTGCAAAAATCGCATGTTTGGCCCACATTCCGTGTCCTTAGCGTTGTCCTTTCCCCCATCAGGCCGGAAGAGGAAGCATTTGCCGAGCAAGGGGGTTGCAAACGGAACGATTTTTCACTTTTGTTTTTGTTTAATAAGGCATGCGAAAATATTTTACTGCCATCACTTACCCCTCATGATGAGGCGGACCTGCCACTGTCAAGGACCTGTAAGGGCCTTCCTTTCGCCTCACCGCAGCTCGCCTTTGGTAGTCTGTTCCCTCCATTATTTTCACCAATCCACGCTGATCATCATTTGTATCCATTTGCCACTTGGTTTTGGGTGTTTTGTGGGCATGGCATCACCATCCGCGCCACTCCAGACCCACTCGTACTCCCTGTCCGTCCGTCTGTCTGTCCCTCAGTTCCTTCGCTGACTGATGGGAGCTTCTTCATTTGTCAATGTAACGCTGTCTTGGCTCGAAAATGCTTTTCTCGCATGCCAGCCCCAAGTTGGAGCTGGACACACGAACACAACACTCAGTGGCTCAGTGGGGAGCTCGGGCGAATGGATGGCTATCTACCCCGCCAAAGGCCATGTGGATGTGGACGTGCAGAGGGGATGTGGGGCTTTCAGGTTGTCGGGCATTCAAGTCGGCTTGTCAGTCAGTCAGTCAGCTAGTTAGTTAGTTAGTCAGTCACTCAGCAGACTTTCAAACGCCGCACATTGGTGCCAGTGAAAGATGAAACACAATTGAAAGCAAAATAATGGAAACCTGAGTAAATCTGCATTAGTTGGTGGGGAAAAACCTTATAGAATGGGATACATTCATTGAGTCAGACCCTTATATCCCTGCACTAGCTATTACTCAATAT